TCGTACACTGTACGTACCTAAATCACACTCTCCATCATATGATCTCCCACTATACCCATGGAACCAAGTCTATGTGCATTCAAATTTCTGAACACACTGGACACCGTAATTGGAATAAAAACAAGAGGCAAATAATCTCAGAAAATTCATTTACATAACCAATTACATGAACATCACAACTTGTACTAGTAATTACAACTACATTCAATACACTAATTATGTATAATGAAAATTAATCCACATGCACCTACGCATGGGAAGGAATACTTAACATCACCCATAGGGGCACACACATCTGCTCTTCCACATGTATGGTGAGCGGTACAATCGATTATAAAATTAAAATATTTTTCAAATTTTAACATGCAAAATAATATTCATTCTATTACATCCATGTACTCACAGAGCAATAAGTTATAAATAAAATGCATTCTTAGGTTTAAAATGATTGAATACCATGCAAACAAATGCACAAATGACACATTTACACATGGTGAAACATCAAATATCCTCAAAGATAGAACCAATCCCACATATACACTTATTATTTTGCAATACATTGGCAAGTAAGAAGGGATTTTGAGCTTGTATATATTTTAGGCCCAGTTTGAACCACATTTTTCTGTTTTGCTCTTTTAAATACATGCCCAGAAGAAGAAGAGTGAACATTCTTGGCATTTCAATCGCTTCACACATCAGTGGTTGCTCATGCACGTGATGTAATGCAACTCAAACATCAAGAATTATAATTTAACTTAGCAACTTCCAAACATTGTTATTCGTGGAAAACTAGAATGAATATATTTCTAGTAGAATTCTTTCTTTATTTTACTAACTACTTCAAAATTACAATTGAACCCAAGAGAAAGATTACAAGAGAAAATTCATATTGCCTACAACTTTTCAATAAAGCTCAGAAATCAAATACCATGACATATTTATTTTTTTCATTGACTCGATTTGCACTAATAAACCGAAAGTTATTTTTGAGGCAAAACCATTCCAATTCATGTATGAAACCCTAAAGTTCCATGGATCCCTGTTTGGGGAATGCTGATCCAATAATTCGATCAGATTGACACTCCTTTGAGAAGTAGAACACTAAATACCATTAGGTTGAATATTGGTACAAACATGAGTTTGCCTTTTATGGATAAGTTAACTGATGACTTCACTGATTTCACAATCTTTTTCCTGATGTATATTATGTGATTGAATGTTCAATCCCTTAAAAAAAAGGAGTATGTTGCTAGAACATTTGCAAAAGCTGCTATATGGTGAAATTCATTCACAAAAGGAACTGGGCCTGTCTCTCAGCATTAACAATTACCTTTATGACCTATATTTACAATTAATAATGCAGTAGCTTTGCTATAATACTGATTGCAGTTTTAACACCTGCCTTAAGGAAGTGAAAAAGCTAGATGGGCATTCAACCCAATCAGGACTCACAGAAAAGGATCACTAATGTTTGAACAACATATACTTTCAACCCCATCATGCTTTCAGAACTCAAATTTCATCACAGAGGGAGATCAAATGACTTTAACGCCTCCTTCAACAGAATTTGGAAATACAGTTTGTTTTGTCAGGGCCATACCACATCTTATCTCTTACACGCCTGTCACTTCCACTGCCAGATGAAAACATGATAAAAGGTATATTTAATCACAATAGTGCCAACAATATATAGGATTATCTATTCCTAATTATTGATGGTAATTGCCACTTTTCTTTACAATAATGTAAAATATAATTCACAGAAAGGACATATTACTCTATTCTGCACCACCAATGAGTTCATAATGCACTTATATGGTAAGTTCAACGCTTATTATAATGTCAAGGTACAAGGTGTATTACGAATAAAAATAGTGATGTGACACCCACACACTTAAACAAGAAACAAACAAATACAAAAACTTCATGAAATACATTCTGCCTAAATAGAAATTAATGGAATAAATCATTGATGGTCTCAGCAATTAACACCAGGTTTCATTACCATCAATAAGCTGGTTAAATCTTAGTTAGGCACAAGGCATTTTTAGCCGAGAATTCCTAGCACAGCATCTATTCTTAAGAAGAAGCCAAAAATCTCAATCTTGTAAGAATATATATTTTTTTTAAAAATCTGGTAACTTTCCTTTCTGCAGTTAGCAAATGGCCACAAGAAACAGAAGCAAAGATTAACACCATTTGGGAAAGAAGAAAAAAGTTGAAGAAAATGAATGATAGATGGCTTAAGAGATTATCACAATTATCTTTTTTGAGATGCTACAACTTTTGGTTGTAGCCATCTATTGCACAAGCCATGTTATATCCAAATATTTGGTTCCCGAAATTCTAGTAATTTTTATGTAACCTATTCAAAACCCCTTAACATGAGTTATCTTAACAATTCTTAATACATGGAGCTCAATTTTTTTCTTTACACAATGCTGTTCTTTACATAGTGAATATTATAATCCTGATCTGATATACATCCATGTCAGAGCATTTAAGCAAATTACATCCCACCATTTTCATTGAAGTGAATATGAATATTTGGAAGGTGGGCAAAACTTGACAACATAGCATCGTGACATCCTATTCCTTTAATATGGTATCTTTGTTCGGAGCTGCTGAGTGGTGGGGGTGGATGAGGGTCATTTGCTCAGCTGTCCACTGATATGTTGGCAGCCCACGTAATCACAAGCTCATTTTCTTCATAGTGACACATTTGCAATTGACAGGGCAGTCTGCGCCATATGAATAAATCTTGGCAAGAAAACATGGGAAGATATAAGAATTATAAGACTGACTTTTTTCAAAAACTGTAGTATTAACCAATCTGAAAGTATACCACCCCTTTTACATCGTACTAATGTACCTACATCCCTCCAAATGTACCTAATGGCAGAATGCCTGAAAGGTAAACATTGCAAACATGAATTCTGAGCACCATCTTTGTAGGCTTCAAAAGACTGATCACCTTTTATATATCTTGAGATAATTCTCAGGCGTACTTTTCCCAAGACTATACAGCAAAGAGGGAAATGGGTACTTTAAAACATTAAAAAAGAAAGAAAAATGGAAGAAAGAAGTTTCAGAAAGGAAAATAAAATTCTCTAATTGGAATTGCTTGCTTCCATTTTCAAAATTTCTTAAGATATTAGTGCATACAAAATATTATGAAGTGAAATGCAATACTGTGAGGGAAAAAAATAAATTCATTTCACCTAACAGGAAAGAAGATTCCGCAGGCATATGCAACCCAAATCTGGCCTATGGGCATAGTTGTTAAATAAAGACTGCAGAAAAAAGAAATTGAGAGGGAAGCCATGGAAAATTGGTTAATGAACAACTTGCTATCTTCAAAAGGGCAAGTATCATATTCCTTTTCTTTCACATCCCATGCCCATACCATTTAGCCTCAAGTTACTCAACCATAAGTTGCTGTTAAAGAACAAAGCCCAAGATGCTTCAGATTAACTCCATCATCCAAAAGATGATAGAGACATGGATAAAAAAAATCACAAAAATTAAGCTGTATTAACAATTTACCTCCTGAATCTGAAAAATATTATTTAAACAATATCTTAACACCAGTGATCCTTATACAAAACTAAAACTAATTACCAGACATGTGAATGGTAAATGCTAAAGACTAAAGTTTTGTATTAAACCTTAAAACTTTACTATTTTACAGTAATTAAAGCTGCCTATTTTGTAGCTTGATACAATAATTTCATAAACAGCAGATAGTCAGAAAGAAATGTAAATAACAAACTGAACTACTTGAATATGTTGGGTGGAAATTGAATTTTAAGGAAATAAAAATAAGGAAAAATAATCATGTAAATAAATGTCTTGCATGCATTTTAGAGCTGTCCTTGAATTGCCCATGAGGATTGGATTCAATCTAACTAATTGTTCTTTTGTACTTGAAAGGCTTTCATATAAGATCTTCATCTTATAAATGCAATAGCATATTTTCAACCCACCATACAACTACTCATATTCATACATTTGTAGGAAAGAGTATAAATGTTCTCCAAATTATGCATGGTATTTAAAAAAGTAATTAATAAGAAGAAAGACACTTAAGAAACAATTATTCTTTTCAGGTTTGATAACAAAACACAAGAAATGCAAATCAACTAAAAATTATAGCATTCAAATCCATAAAGAAACAAGATGTAAAATATAACAAATACCACTAAATTTTGTACTTCTATCTTGTTTAAAATTCAAATTTTCTCTATTGTCTGAGTAAATATAGAAAGCAGAATTCAAAACCCTCCAAATGATTTTCAAACTGAAACTGACAATTAAATCAAATACAAGATTGGGAAAAGCTCACAACTATTCCCTTAGATGTAACCAATTAATAATTATTAGACATGTAAATCAGTATGTTTAGCAGCCCAGAAAATAATCCATGAAAAGCTAAGTTCTACAATATCAGACTGCCATATCAAAGTTTGCCTCCTCTTATTAAAAACACACAAATCAAATGTACTTGAGTAACTAATTATTTCTGGTTCAGTTAACATAATAAATGAATAGTGTTGGTGTGCTATTTATAAACAAAAATATATTTTAAGGCAATGTCCAGCTTACGCAACTCAAAGGCAAAAAGAAAATTGCTTATTTGAAAGTATTTTCAAATTTTCTCAAAACTTCTCAGCGAAAATGAAATAGCTGCTTAACTGATAATATCTCATCTCATTCCTTCATTGGCCTAAAACATAAATGTCTAAGTAAATTTTTCATTAACTCTTTCAGCATCTAAGCTTAGTTAACACCAAGAGAGTGATTTTTCCCTCCCTCCTTCATATCCAAGAAGTTTAAGGAAAATTTGAAAAATAAACATTTGACTAGAGGCCTGTAATGACTTTGTGTAAGTCATTGTCTTGAGCAAGTTTATTCAAGATTTTATTTTAATTCAAGCAGATATAGCAAGAAGTCAATTACAACATTTTTCTAACCAAAAGGAATTACTTTATTGGAAATTTGTTTATGGTAGAAACGAAAAGTTTGCAATTGAAAAATAATCAAGACCTCATAAAAATTAAAACATGTACTTTTCATACAAAGGAGCTAAAGGCGAAAAAAATGAAAGCAAATTGAATTTTCAAAGCATTTAAAGTGCAACAGCATCTATAATTTTTAAATATAGTATAAGATGAAGTACAAGCTTGAATTATTAAGCAGAGATGCAGGCATTTTATGAAAACATTTCCATTCCCTTGGAGGGAAAAAAAACCTTACAATTAACTGGAGAAACTGTAGCAGTGAAAGCAAAACAAGAAATTCAAGGAAATGTGTCACCACAAGAAAGAAAAGTAGGTACAAGAATAAAGTGAGTGTAATATTCAAATCTAGCATCTGAATATTTCTCTATTTAGATAACAATACAGTACTATGGAAAAAAAAAGCAAAGACAAGTCAAAATTCATGTTGTGTCAAGCAACTTCACAAATCCTACAATATGGATGCTTTTTTAATGGCAGGAAATTCAGCATATCAAATAAATAGCAGTTTATAGTTCAATGCTCTTTTGTCACAATCAAAGGATATATTATGTATGTACACATATGAAAAAAATGCAAGCACTACAAACTAGGTAAGAGTATAACAGACATGCTTATAAGGATTATGCAAACATGTATAGATGTAATACCAGGACAAAGTGATTCAAGATTTCTTTTGTAATACTTGGTTTCTTTCTATTACCTGAGTTATGTGAAGTAACAGCTAACATGGATGAGATCAAAACTATTCATTTGAACAAAACAAATACAATATAGTTCCTTCGTATATAAATAAAACAAAGTACACGTACAATAAACTTCTAGAAATTGAAAAAAGATAGGCAGTGAGTTATCATTGAGTAGAGAGAATTACTATAGCAAAGAATAGCTACTTAGAAATTGCTCAAAATTTTAAGGAAGGTAAAACTCAACTCTTGTATTAAGGGAAATGATAAGAGGCCAATATTTTCTGACAGTGCACTGAATCAGTATGATGTGATATTAAGGCAAATAAGTAATTCTCATCAATGAAACTTAAAACATTTCATTTTGAATCACTTTGTTGAATGTATGAGAAACTCACTTCGTCAAAGATTTCTGGATTTTCATTTATGTTCATGACAATGTTTTTGGTAGTATGCAATATCTAATGTTCCATCTGCAGTATTGTCAGACATCTTTCACATTCATTTTAATGCTGTTTTGATTTTTTTTTTAAATGTATAATGTAATATGCTAAAAAATAGTTAACATCGACATTTCATTATCTGTTTCTGTCCAGATAAATAAATGGTTTCAAAATTCATACATTTGCAAAAAGTCAAAATCCAGATATCTAAAGACTAAGTTATAGGAGCTACCATCCAAATGAGAAGACCTCAACATGAGAATGTAAATATCAGTCAGGTACGCAATAGAAGCTGGATACTTTGTCTTTCTGAGTTTGAGTGAATCTAGATGATAGTGAGAAAACACTGAACAAAATTGATGAAACTGTACCAGGTCAAATTAACTCACTATACACTCTATTTCCCTTAGAGGAAAAAATAAAAGCGCTCTGTGATGTAATTTTTCTATTCTCTTTAGTGATTCATAGCATGCCAGATTTCATAGAATCAAAAATATTCACCAACCATTTTGAAGCAAAAAGCACCTAAGGTTTCAGAATTAGAATGAGATAACTGCCTCATAACAAAACCTTGAAAACAAAGCCTCACAACTATTTTTTGAGGTAAAGATCTTACATAATAACTTGAGGATGAGTCTAATATGTTCTAAGTAATAAATAAGTTATTGTCCCCACAATGGAGTATTTTTAATATTATTGCTGGCTACCATTGAGCAATAACACTTCACCAACAAAAATAAATATACTCTCTGATTTTCAACAAAGCCATTGGGTACACGATTTTTCCATTGAAATACATAATACAGAAATAACAAAGTCTCTAAAATACATCTGAATTTTTTAGTATTAATATTGTCAGACCTTGTTTTCAAGACAGCATTAACTTAAGGAGTCAAGAGATATAAAAGATTACAACCCAATTTCTTTAAAAAATATCAAATGTGAAAATGACCTTGTTGAGAAATGTTTCCCCAGCTAACTCTCATTCTCAATCATATAAATCTCAATTCACACAAATGTATTACTGCAGAATTTTTAGCTCAAACAATACTTCTGCACATATCTAGTCTTTAAAGAAAACTTCTCTTACCGAAATCCTTTCATTCAAATAATAATTCTAAGATTTTTTCTTGTACAAAAACATAGCATTGTGCTGCTAAATCTGGCACATTGTTAGTGATTTATCACTACAAAAACTTTTTTGTAGCTGTATTCCTTCATTTTTTAAGACCTTTCAAGTAAGGCTCATTTAATAAAATGGGCAAATGAGGAGGAATATTTCCACTTCACTTTCCCAAGACAGTCCCCGTGAAACACATGGTCTCCCATCTTCTGTTATCATTATCAACTAATATGGACAGACAGTGTATACAAGTGGGGAACGTGCTTGAAGAGAAGGATTCGCAGTGAGTCGCACAGGTGCTTTACACGAAGCTGTAGGTGTTCTCCACGGCTCGGCTGCCGCCAGCAGAGCCTCCGGAGCCACTCTGGCGCTCCTGAAGGCGCTCCATTGACTCGGTGCGCACGCGAATCGAGCCGCTATGGGTTACCACCTGCTGGCACCACCACAGACCACGCCATTCAGTCAACACCACACAAAAACAAGCCCTGCACTACACACTGCGTGATGGAGGCTTAAAAAGACCCAGTGACTTCTCAAGATTTGCTCACGTCCTGAAGACAGAGATGAGATACACACCTTTCAGGAGAGAGGGACTGTTTTACAATGTTCATTATACGAACTAAGCAATAAGTACTAATTCTTGTTTGTGTACAAGTTTGTGCTGCCAGTAAACATACTACTACAGTAACAGGCAAGAAATAAGGAACTCCCAAGCAAAAACTAACTGAAGTTCATTCTACGAACCAAACAACTACACAAATCACACCACACACTTGAAAAAGCTTATTCTTATACTTTTTTCAATGTTTGTTTTAATAGGATAGATATTTTAAACACTATGAGTAAAGTGTAGCGATGTATTGAAAATTCTTATAAATTATGTGCAGAGGACTTATTAGTAAAATTATTTATCCACATTCTTTTTCAATGAAAAGGAATGTATTTTCATATTAATTTTCCTCAAAAGCAATGTTCTGCTGAGTAACAAAAATCATTATAATTTATTCATTTCCAAACCTTGCGATAAAATGATATAATTATGAAGTTACAGTATTGTTGTTTATGAAACATTTGAAATTTGACAAGTAACTAAGTAACTACCAAATTCCTACTGTTAATCATTTGGGGTATATTACTTTTCTACAAAAAATGATGAATAACTGAGTTCTGAAGATGGGTGAAATGTGTGACTGTAAAATATTCATTTATTGGAACTCATTACAAGGAGTATTGTAATGTGCCATCAGTAAGATAATGCAAAACGATCTCTGTACTCAGGTCATGAGTAACAAAACTAGGAAGAAGCCAAATACTGAATAGAAATCTATGCAATTAACCTTACAGATTTGGTGTCAGGATCAAATTTAGATATGCAAAATAAAATTGTACAGGAAATTACAAAAACCAACAGGAAGTACAGAAAAATATAAGGAAAAACTAATTTAAAAATTGAAAAATGCAAACACTTAAAGATTGTATTCCTATAAATTATAATTATGATTGCTAACAGCTTTATAAAAAATATAGCTTTTTTTTAAAAAAAAAAAGGTATTTTAATAAAATAATTTAAAGTTTTCATGTAAAATTACAAATTTCAAAAAGGAATTTGCAATACATGTAATTGTTTTCAAACTTTTGAACAATAACTTTTTCTTTATTTCATAAAGGTTAATGTTCAATTGGTGTTGGTAGATAATATTCTGCAAGCCTTTAGAAATGATCTGATATATAATAATGTCTGCTAGCAACATAAAAGTAATTTATTTTTAGAAATTAAATTTTCATTCAAGGATAAAAGGATTTTGTTTTAGAGACACCATGAATATTAAATCACAGGTACTGCTAATTTAACCAAGTTAGATAAATAAACCTCTCTCATTGGAACATGCACTTCATTGTAACTGAATTGGTGTTAAGGTCATTTCTATTAGTACATTTTTTAAATGAAACTATCTAAAACCATGAACAGTTAAACAAAAAATCACGAAATTATAACAAATGCATTGCACATGCCATATTACATATCATTTAATAAAGTAAAATTGATTTTTCATTACACATTCACCAACTGGCTAATTCAATAATTTGGTTTGAAATCAATAAAGAAGTTAATTCACTCAATCAGTTTTTCTCTCAATTGAAAGAAGTATGTCTATTATTTTCCAAATACACCAATTCAATTAAATACACTGATGCTTAAATGTGTGTATGGTTCTACTAGTTTTAACCTTCCAGCAATCACACCTAAAAGTTAACACTATTGCTTCTTAATTATCATAAAATTTAATTTCGTATATAGATTAAAAAATTAAAAGATTTTCCATAGTTGTTACGTACTACAGAAATGAGCTCATTAATACTTTAAATCTGAAGAACACTTTGCGGCGAATTCATAGTTGTCACTTATAGGATAAGCGAACCCGTAAGTGATAAGTGCATTCTCAAAATAAGTGTTCACTTATAGGCGCTCGTATTTCATAGACATTCCTTACAACTGTGGAATGTGTTCCCTTAAGCGAAAGGGAAATGTGGCAACAAGGCATTGGCGGCAGCTGTTTCGAAGTTCTTGGCAACCGAGTTTACACACGCACTTCATCTTGTACAAATGGTGTCCAATTTAACAGGGGGCAGACACTACAACATCGAGTTGACGTCGCGCGCTGCGACCATGTGCCCCTCTCATTTGTAGTGTTTATAATACTTAACATCAGTTTGTATTGATTCCACAACTTTAACCTATGCTCTAGTTTAACTAATGTAAATGGTATGAGCATAAGTCTGCCAATATTGGTAATGGATCATTTCATGTCATTGAAAATGTCAACCCCGTATAGTATTAATACAAATTCCATTTTACAACAATTTAAATTACTTCATTTGTTATTCATATTGCAAATTCATAATTACTTAGAATAGGTCTTATTAATCAGTAATGAATAAAAGTTAAAAATTTTGGAAACATACCTGAAAGGATGAAGTTGCATAATAAATCTTAATGCAATGAGAACTTTTAATAAGGGGGAAATCGGCAGTCCTCTTTGGGACTTTGTCAATCATCGGCACTAGTAGTTTTATTGAAATGAAACCGCTTTCGGATGGGGTGCTCCTATCTTTAATTTATCTCTTTGAATTTTGCAGGATGTGTTGAGAATAAAACTCAAAATAATCTTGGAAGTCGTTTTCCATAACATGTTTCACAAATGGAACGTTTAAGCTGGCTACACTTTACGAACACCAGCAAAACGAATTCAATAGTCGGTGAATGACCCGTAAAGGTATAACCTAAACTGGTTACTACTGACGATACAAGGGAGCCATAAGGAACACTTAAGGGAGCAGGATGTCTCGCTTATAAGAATGAGTGCTCACTTAAGACTTCACTCAAGGGCTGTTTATGAATAAGATTCGTGTACTTAAGGGAACACTCAGTGAAAGTGACGACTATGAAGTCGGCCCTTACAAGCTGAAGAGGTGCAACTTGAACCAATTTCAGCATTGCCAAAATATTTTTGTGTTGGGGTTGCAGGTCAATTCTTTCTTTTGTATCATTGCAATATTAATTACTATTCCAAGTCAGTCTTGTATTATTATATTATAAATGATTTGTACCTGCAAGTATGTCAGGCCCATCACATAAGTATCACATATCTTCAAAAATGTTATTATTTATACATGTATGTTCACTACTGCTACTGAACTGCATAGTGGAAACATCAAACATCATGTATAAAAGAAATTGAAAGACGAAAGAAGCTTAGATTACTACTTGAGAAGAGATATAAGAAAATGTGACTGTTAGAAGGTTAAAGAAGAAAAATTCTCTTTAGAGCAAGAAAAACAAGTGTTATGTTTCATGAACACTCAGAAATACACCAGTGCAATATATCATAATTATTACTCAAGCAGTATCTCAAACCACACCAATGTCATAGAACATCAATCAACATCACAGTATGGGTTTTCACAGCCCATTTAAGTGTACTATGACATAAACAATGGCTAAGAGAAAGACTGTACAAGTGGCCTCACGAACTACCAAAATTAAAAGGCTTTTTTTCTTTCGCATTTGATATGTAATGCATTACACTTGCCTAATAACTAAAAGGAATGCAGAACACCTGACACCTTGGTCAAGAAGCAGTTTTCAATAAGTGCATTACATTCAACAAAACACTGGTGAAAACTCAATACATTCTGTACTTCAACCACTGTTACCAGATTACAATAAAAATCAATATTTCAACAGCTAAATGTGTCAAAATATTTCCATTTAGAAACTTGAAAGCTCTTTCACCAATGAAATGCACAAAGTATCAGAAGTGTTCATTCACATCTTACATGTACATTGGTGATTTTTGTCAAGAGGACAAAGGGGTGAATCTACACTCAGCAAAAAGCCCATCTTTGTTCCCTGTGAATAATACAGCAATAGGTTTCACAGCCAATACTTCAAAAGAAGTTAAAAGGCAGAATTCACGGTACCTCTCTAGGCTCAGGCGGTACAGGCACTCGGCGAATCTCAGCAGCTGGAGCCAAAGCTCCAGTTGGAGTTCCAGCAGTGAGGCCACTGGTTGATGCAGCAGTAGCAGCTGCAGAAGCACTAGTACTAGGTGCAGCTGCTGAGGTCCGAGATGTTCCGGTTTGGGAAATAAGCACAAAATCTGTCAGAGTGACATCTGCTGTTCCTCCTGATTCCAAAGGAATTGGATGTTGTCGGAAGTGTTCAAGCATGTCAAAAATGGTTGGGAACCATAAGTGCTGTACACGACATTGTCCCTGATCATTCAAGGTCATGCGTAAATGCTGCAATAAAACATAATACATTTATTTGTTTAAAGCTTAACAGCAGCCACTGTAAACTCTTAGAAAATAAAAATAATATTCCAATTGATATTAAATAATAGAATATTATACAATTAGAAAACCAATGGTTTTACAACACTGAAACAACTTCCTTGTAACACATGAAAAAGATCTATAAAACAATGACAAAATTCAAGATAATAGCAGAATAAAGCATTTGAAGCTAGAGGCTATTCCCTTTATTCTTACGAAAAATAACACACACCTTAGCACGGCCTTGAAAGTTGAAAGTCAACACGAACTCTCCTTTTCGGGTCTCACTCTGTCGGACAAGGAATATGCCATGCCCAGAGGCACCATCATTAAGCACAAGCTGAGCAGCATCAGAACGAGGCAGAGTGCCATGGAACCAGGGATACTCTCGTAGTGAGGCTGATAAGTCTAGCTCTGGCTCAGCTGCTGTGGCACCTGCTGCAGAAGAAAGGATGAAGGGTAAATAACAACAGCTAGATCCCTTTCTTTTAAATTGAGGCTATTGATAAGTTTTGCCCATAGGCTTGTGCAGCCTAAAACCAAAGGGGGACCGAAATCATTTCTCGTTCTCCTTTTTATCAAACCTTCTTTTTACATATGACATATTTTACTACAAATGAATAACAACTCCAAGGACAATTGCATAATAAATTTAATGATACCGTTAATAATAAAAAATATTTTTTGACAATTTAATACTGCTGTTTACATGGTTGCGAGATGGCTTATAGTGCCTCTTCTCCAAATGTACAATTTGACTCATTGCTAGGACAAGAAAACTTATTTCAACAAATTATTAAATGTAATGAATTGTTTTAGCGCATGAAGCTACAATTTTGCATAAAGCCAAAATTTTTAGGGGTCCATTGCTCCCCCTGAACATATGCCTTTGGTTTTGCCTGACTGCAATCTATGGACACCTGAAGGACTGCAGTAACTATCACTCCCCTGGGAACAAGTTCCCGAAAAGACGTCCCTTGTGTTCCCCAAACATCACACTGATATAGCACTTTGACCTACCTCAATTTTGAGCCATTACATATATGCTCCAGGAAGCATTTTGATACTTGAACCATATTTCTGGGTGTAGGGAGGACCCATTCCTCAATTACTCACAACAGACATTTCATACAATTACCAATCCGAGTAATGAGTATGGGTGATTTCAGGAGTAGAGATAAAACTTCAGGTAGTGGAAAAGCCTGTATCCCAAATTCAACTGAAAACATCCACACATTACAGAGTTTTTGACCCCTCCGCCCTAGTGTCCACATTGGGCTCACCTGCCCCAAGTTCATGCACTATCAGGCTGTCTGAGTAAATAATGAATGGGGTTATGAATTCTACACTCTGAAATTAGAAAATATATGTGCATTGATAAAATTCTTTAAATTCTCAGATCTTGACAGCCAACCTTTGAAGGTTTGGTGGAATAACGGTTAGTGTATCCGACTGTTTTACCTAAGTTTGCAGGTTCAAACCTGATCAAAGCTGTGGATTTTTAAGGGCGATAACATCCTTCATATGCTTTCCTTCAGAGGGGAAGTAAAACCGGCCGATCTATGTTTTAGATTTACTGCATGTAAAAAAACCTCCAGCCTACAGGATGTCTCTAAGCTAAATTCAAAATCACTTGTCCCCTCCCTTCTTTCTCTGCTAGATGGTGAAGGGAGCAAAGTGAAAATTGCGTGGTTAGACAGAAGGGCAGGCCCGATGACTTGGATATCGCCATGTAAAATAACGTATTAACTAGCGAACTAACCAACCTTGGATGTTGGGATGTAGATTTTAACTTAATCTAGCAAATGAAAACCTCCAGCCCTATTGCAACATCTTTACAACAACACAAATTTGAATTGATGGACTCAAACAATTAAATAGCAGCTAAGCGAAAAAAATGTTAAGCTTTAAAAACCCTGTGTTTTTAATTATAAGACGTTGGAAGTGTGGCAAAATGCCTCATTATTAATATAGTGTAACACATTTAACAACAGAAATCCGATATGCTTTCTTTGGCAATGAGATATCCTGCCTCATGCTTGACGAGTTGACTGTACATCGTTGATCACTGATGTTTATTTAACACTGAACATAATTTATAAAATAAATGTATTTGATACCCAGCCATCTTAATGATTAGATTTGTATTTTCTATCCATTGCATATTCACAATTGCTTAAGCTGAAGTATTTTCATATTTTTACTCTTCTCAATTCAAGACAATCACAAAACCTTTTGATGCAATGTGAATTTTTATATCAAAGTTTACTGATTTATTGCAAAACATTCAGTCATTTTTTTTATGTTTTCTTTAATTTCCTCTGTTAACCATGCCAAGTTTCACCTCGCACATTAATAGCTAGGACTATTCATCAAAAGTAATTATCTCTCCAGTATTCAATAAATATTGGAGAGAAATGAAAACGAAAATATCATTTACAAAATGAACAGAACCGGTCCAAGAAATGTGCTCTGAGGTACTACACATTCAAAGCTTTTTCTCTACGCTAGGATAATCACCAATTTTCACCACTTGTTTTCTGCCATTTAAATAATGTTTTATATATATCCTGGTGTGCCTCAGAATCTTTTTTTCTCTCTCCAGTTTACTTAAGAGAATCTTGTGGTTTGAAGTATCAAATACCTTCACTAAATCTGCCAAAGGAGCATTTTCATCTATTGTCCTATAAACTTGGTAATAATACTCTTATGAGTTACTCTGTGCCTTTATTAGATTGGAAACCATACAGCATTTGATGCAGTAATTCAAACTTTGTAATAACATTATTTTTACATGTCTTCAATACGTTTTAATATATTTATGCTAGATTATTATTCATTGGAACTGTTCATTGCAGTATTTGGGCAGAACTTGTTCACAGATTTAAAAGAGGGATGACATCTCTTTTAAAAACCATGACGGGAAAGTTTTTTATTATTGTAGTTAATTGTAATTATTGTTTATTTGCAAATGTTGAACATGAATACATAAAGGCAAATGAATAACAAGTGTATGAGCTAGTACTCTGAAACATTCAAAACGATTAAGATGCAAAAACAGGCATAGAGTTTACCAAAAATATATTTTCGAAACTCTGGAAGATATGTTAATCTGTTTCGCTGATTAACATTTATGTCCTAGGCTGTGCTGCCATTTTGGAGATCTGCTATACTTCAATGAATCTCAAGCTGAAGGTAAATGCTTATTTCTATTCGAAAAGGGCAGTTTTGGAAGTAAGCCAGTCTCCTTACAGTTATTCATGTTTTACAATGGATAGTCAAGCAAAAGTTACGCCACCGCATAAGAGCATACACGACCAAGGTCTGCAATTATAACATTACATAAATGTACATCAAAAGTCTGTACAATCTCTGGCTGACATGAATAGAATGGCAGACGGTCACGGCTGTACTAAGTATATGGACATAATTCTCTCTTGTCAAATTACCTAATTCAAAGTGGCTGTTGCTAGAGAGCCGGGCGCCAGTGCCGTCAGTTCGAATGCCAGCACCTGCTGCTGCACCTTGAAGTCGTGGAGGAAGTTCTGGAGGGTGCTCACCACCAATGGCAGTGCCCTCCCCATCTACCTTCCCTGTTGCAGGACCTCGTAAGCGTTCCCCATCACCCAAGAGACTCCGGCTATGACAAAGAGATCCATAAGTATAAGAAAAAATTACAAGAGGCCAAAATTAACAATGAAAAGTATTATAAATTCACAGGTATCTCTAGCAGGGGCTCCAGGAGGTCCCGACATTCTGTCTCTCCCCCAATATTTTCAAAAACATGCAATAGGTTTTCTTTTTTCTTCTCTCTCACACACTCAGTATCACATAATAATAATGTAAGGAACCACCATGAGCCTCCATTTTCATATCTAAAGAGAGGAACAATAATCCATTGCTTGCAACCAGTGACATCGTAGACTCTTCCATTTTCTACATTTATTGTCAGAGAATATAATTGAATTCATGAATAGCACCAACATAATTGTTAATCCATCAAATGAACCTTGTTGACTTCACTAATTTATGTACTTTGTTTTTAGACTTACATGTTTAACATTTATCATTAATAAATTAAATTACTGAAATATTCTCCTAAGAATTTAATGATTTTTAATAGAACTTTCGAAGATTATTTCATTTCCATAGTATTAAATTGCATACCTTGCCTAAATAAAAAATGAACTTTACATCATTCTTTCAGGTCAACAAATAATGCGTGATTTACTTCTGAATTGAGATTAAATGAAAAATTTATCTATTTACCTACGTACCAGCAACTTGAAAAATTGAATACTTGTACATCAAAATAGTGATGTGAGAAAGTAAAATAACAATAAATCCTTTTGAATCTTTCTTTGAAGACAGTCAACTGGACGCAGTCCTTTTGAAAATATTAATCATGCTGACATGTATCTCTACATTCACATTCTTCCACTTGTGATAAATCAAAGCTTATTGATTATTTGATTACATTAAATTTTAAATGAAATTAGCAAAGTACAGTCTTGTTACAAAAAAAAGCTGAGGTTCTTTTCCAAGTTGGCCAATTGCAGTTTCTAGGAAATTTTGAAGGATGGCCACTTAAGTGTATCTTTTAGTTCAAGAAAAATAAGGAACAACATTGACCAAGAGTATATTATTATATTTGTACTAATTTATTTGCACATCTAAATTTCCAATTGTGTAGCAAAAGAAAATTATGATACTTCACAAATATCGCATATAAAATTATATTCTCTATTAAATAGTAAATACATACTTACAAATTAACATTTATTATTTAGAACTTTCAAATACTGCAAAAATTTGAGCCAGTTGGAAAATAGCAAACAATCTATAAAATTGAAAATTACTCAGAAAGAAAAAGAATTAAAAAAAAAGCTTACCTGCCATCTTGACTATCACTATTAGGTAGAGCTGTACGCATGCAGTACTTTATAGTTGCCAACCAAGACCTCATGTCATCTGTATCATGTGCTTCAATTACATATTCCATATTGTTCTCGGCCTGGGAATAACCAATATTGGAAACCGAATGAAACTTCACATTTTCCTGTGTATTTTCACCACACAAGACATTAAAAAACATGTACCTTAAGGACAAATGTATTTTCATGGTCAGGCATTTCCAAGGCTGTTGTTTCCCTTGCTTCGGTAATAAGAAAACAGAAAACACCACTTTTGGGTTTAACTGCCTGCAAGAGTGATAACACACCTGTTAACCTGTACACTAATTGTGGACAGACAGAAAAAAGCCCAGAATTTTCTATTGCTGATGTCAGCTGGCTTAATGATGAAGCAAGCCTTACCTTTGGGGGAGAGTAAAATTCCAACATATAACCTCCAACAGTTTTCACCAGAGCTAATCTACACTTTTCCCATTTCTGCGTACCATCCATATTCTCACCCATTAGATAATTTACAATACCCTCTTTTCGACACTCGACAACGATTTTCGCCAACTTCGTTTTTGAATGCTTGTCGTGCTTAGAGTGTTTATCATGATGGGATGACAATTCCACTTCATCAGAGTGTTGCTTATGGAAGAAACCTTTGCCTTTCTTTAAACCTTTAAAGGAAAGTCTACGGAAAAAGGGCTTATGCTGTGTCTTTGGGGATGGAGAATCTGCTTCATGTTCGGAATAATCGCTAAATTCCTCGTGGCTGTTCGCTCGTAGGGCGTTACCAGCTCCAGAGTTGGAGTTTGGAAGGACGTTGTTTCCATTAACAAACTTTTCTTTGTGATGGTTAAAGTTCTTCTTCGCAAGCTCTTCCTGGAAATGGTCCACGAAACAATCGACGAATTTGCGTATAAAATCGTGGTGCGAAACTGTCGCCCTCGCATTTTCAGGTAAATTGGCTGTAACGTAGCTGCAAAATGCCTTCGCAAAATCTGTTGCCGCAATTTTAGCATGCCTATCACAGAATTCGATCCAGTTAAGCCGTTCTTGATTATCTGGATGCACTCCTGCCATATTAATATGAAATATTTATTTCACAAATAGTTATAAATTCCCCATGTTTACAAAAAAATGTGTATGTAAACACGAGTCACTGCGAACTTTCAAAGCTCTTACATAAAACCATATACTGAAACTCGTTCGCTAGGGAATCATAAGTAAAACCGGCAATCTCGAGAACGAGAACTAGTACGTGATTCCCTTCAAACCCGTAGAGGAGGGATACAAAAGACATATTCGGGCTCTATGTTCAAACCCCCCCAAATATTCAAACGCGCCTTATTCAAACTGCAAGCGAACATACGGAACCTAAACTTACGATCATGCTTTCGAAGGAAAGAGATTCTACGAGTTATCTATTAAAAAATGTATTTTCTTGAGACTGGGACTTGAGACTTACTTCCAAACCACCTTTCTGAGAACTGGGAAAAACTTCAGTTTGATAATATATTTCAGTTTGTCCTCCCCAAAGGATACGAATGAATGCAGCATCATTAAACAACGTTGACGACGTTTCATACGTCATGCTGCTAACTACCGGCGCATTACTATTATTCCATAACACCATCATGGTAGCTACTATATCTGGCAATTTTCCGTAACTTTTCCAATTTTTTCGAACCAGTTTGAATTGTTCTATAACTATGCACCGAAGTAATGTGCAACTATATTTAAATAAAATACTCGTAAGTAATGCATATGACATCCCATATGCAAAGGAGAGAACTTTCCCTGACCCCCTTGCTTTTGTTGAAACTTAGAATGTCTAATCATTTTTTATCGAAAGCAACTGGAATATATATTTACTTTCAGTGGCGTTTCGTGCTTAGGTTGTACGGTTGCGCAACACCCAGATAATGGAAAAAGATCTCATAATATATTCGAAATATACATTTTCCTTTTCATGATAATCAATATTCAAGATATTGCAGAGTTATCAATGTATATGAAATCATTTGGAATCCAAAGAGCGACCTAAAACTACCATTTTAAACATATTGTACAAGCGATCAGATTTTTTAGAATATATTCTACTGAAGACAAAAATCTCTCTGGTCAATATTGTACATTTCCAATGTCAATTTTTAAAAAAATCAGAAAAAACAGATTGCCGAAAATGGGCTAGTGCCAACCTTTTACCGTCCTTTAATATTCGTATGAGGGAAAAAGTTAAAGAAAATGTTTGTTTAAAAATGCCTATATCTCACACCAAATTACGCGAAAATACTCATATTTTCCGAAAATTTGACATGCTCGTATTTTAAGAACTTTTTGAACAAAACATTTCATTAAGGAAAAAATAGCTATCCATTATCTGACTACAAATATTGTAGTTGTAGGAAAACTTTCCAAAAATTGTAAAGTGATGAAATTTTCAAAAATTTAGGGATTTCAACGAAAATGAGACCTATGCCAATTGTTTAAGCGTTCTTTACACTATTCTATTCACGAACAGAATCTAATACCAAAAATTGCAGCCATTTTTGAGAAAATGATAATGTTAAGACTTCATGTAACGTACTTCCCAAAATCAAAATATCCGTTTCAAACTCACAAAGCCTCGAGTTTGTTCAGAACAATCGGGGAATGTCAATTTTGAAGAAAATCGGCTGAACTGTTTAGACTAGCGGTTACCACAGATGGACGGGCGAAGAACACAGACACACGTTTTGCTGTCGATCTTTTTTTTTGGTATGAAGAACCCACAAAAAACACATGAATTGTGACTACACAATGCGTTAGAGCTCCTGCGCACGAGCGTTAAGTAACGCGCGAGTAGAATAACACATATTACTCGCGCAACTTTTCTTGAAAGATAGATTGAAGAAATGCGGGTAGAGTTGGGGTATTAGTTACGAAATCGGCCACAAGACTTTATTCTCAAGAGTTCGAGGTATCTCCTGTGATGGATCTTCACCTGCTTTGGTCATTTCTTTAGATTTTTTGGAGAAAATCACGCACAGAAGTTTTTGTCTTCAACACACAATATTTTCTATTTCGGTCCAGTGTAGATGTGTTTGGAATATTGTCATTAGTGCTCGCTGCGAGTTTTTGCCTTCAACTGTTTATTGGGCCAGAGAGAGGGAAGTAAGGTCATCGTTAAAGAAAAGTTGCGCGATTAATACTATATATCTTATGCGAAACTGCACACGAGCGCTTTAGACGTTCCGCATTAGATTATGTGTTAATCTACGACGCGCGTCACTTATTACGTCAAACGCACGTCAAACGCGCGTCAAAGCAACGTTCGTGTGACACAGGCCTCAGAGGAAGTAATTTACCATACATAGGAACAAGACCCACTTTTTTGATACCAGGGCCCAGCATTGTGAATTTTTCTGTCAAAACATCGCCGATTTTGGGCACATGATTACCTTTTATCATTTTACGAAGTAAGTCGAGAACGTAATAAGCGGAATTTTCCCGGTAAAAGCCGGAAGAATAACTACTCTAATCAGTATATTCAGAGTAAATTCTACCTTAACAGCAGTCTCACCCATTTACGCCATGCAGTAGTCGACATTCAATTATCTGCACCGCCACTTTCGCTTGAAGACTGCGTCACCCTCACACTGTTACCCAAGCGCAATGGAAAGTGGAGGCAGAAATAACAAACCCGCATGATCAGAAGCTACGTTTTGTTGATGGGCGTAGTTATCAGCCCCACGAGGTAACCAGGTGGGTTCAGGACGCAATGACTAAGATGAGAAAGTAGTGGATCAACCTAAGTGCATCTTACAAACTAAAAATTATTCCGAGAGAGTTTTGGTATGTATGCATGGTGTAAGGATAAGGAGCCTGGTATCCGTCGCCAAAGGAGAAATGAATTGTTAATGTGTTAGATTTTAAAAGTATATTTTCAATATAATGGTTATTTAAACAGCGGAAATAATTTAACAGTTTCGAAAACATTTTAGGTCAAAAACATCAGGGCCCTAATTATCTAGAAATGTACCAGACTTTTGGTCTGACTCACATACCTACCATGATACAAGTGGTGCTTCAGAATGGAACAGACTTTCCATCTTTCAAGAGATTAGCTTCTAAAGACTAGACCAGCTTCTCGGCATTGCCTTATCCTCTTCCCAGCTGTCATCTATTGGCACCTAAAGAACATTTTTCACACTTTCTCAATTTTTTGGTCCAATAATTGTAAAATTGAAATATGACTTTAAAATAATTACATTACTAGAGTACAAAATTGTACTAGATGCAAGTTTTTCTTCAAAAAATTGAGGCTCTTTTTGAGAAACAGTCATTTGAGCGTTTCCGAAAATGCCCAATTTTGAGTTTATTTTAACAGAAAACTTTTGAGTTTTCTACAAACTTTGTAATATATCATTTGAAGCACTCGTACTAAAAAATGCAATAATGCATAAGACAGGTCCATAGTGTAAATAATGAGAGAGATATTAAAAAAATTTCTAATTTTGGAAATGTAAAAGAATACATCAAAATAGCGTTTGTCATATGATTCAGTGACTATAACAAAAGTACTAAAAGCTTAAAGAAAAAAAATTAGAACCGTTTTTGAGAAAATGTTTTTAACATTGCCCACATTTCTTTCAAAATTGTGTGAAAACTACTAACATTTTCAAAAATATGTACACGATATTAATTAAAGAACACACTGCGTAGAACAGTGATCATTTACAGCATTTACAAGCGTTGACAACAGTAATTTACAAAAAATCACTAGAACACTAAATATATAGTTGTATATGCCCCCCAAAAAATTGAACTTCTGCAATTTTGAAATTTCAGATAATTCAACGAAAATCGCACTTGGTCTATTTTAAGCGTACTCAGTTCTTTCCAAAAAAACCAAAACTGGAGTATTTTTGAGAAAAAAAGTTGAAAGTATTCTTTAGACTGAATAAAAAGAAACCATAAAAATTAAAATAATTAATTTCTACAAAAGTTTCTGCTGTGTTCAATATGTAAATACAAAGTGACCAGGAAGGAAACGTCAAAAATAAGCTCTTAAGACAATCTTAATCATATTTTGTGTAATGAACTCCAAGGATATTTCTTATGGCTCAGTCGAAATAAGCACTCAAAAGTTAGTTTGAACAAATACTTCCTACTCAAAAATTCGCATTGCGGAAACATTTAAACACTTCAGAAACATGTAAATTGTTTATTATTTACAAAAGAAATGATTACATTTGTTCAGAAAGAAAAAGGAATACAGAAATAAAAAAGCAGTCGAATTGTGTAAATTGGGTGCTTTAATATTCACATAGTCATATTTTTTATGTTTTTCAAAATATTAAAATATACCTTTCATATGATTATTTGATCTGATGAGTTGTAGTAATTCCAACACTGAAAGGTGCAAAGGGAAGGAAGGAAGGAGAATAAGAAGAGGTTTAATTTAGGAAAATTTAAGAGAGTAATCTGGGTTGAGCACGTTGGTCTTTTTTGAAAGGGAGAAGTTCTCGATTTTACGATACGTACTTTCCCCACTTTTTTAATCAGATAGGAAGGTCGATACAATGATTGTATGGTTGTGATTTTATTTTCTCTGCGGCTATACCGGAATCACTATAATAACTATTGGTGCTACAACAGCACATATTCCTTCACATTATTTGTAACTGCTATGCAATATTATACTACTAGATGAATAACATACTACTACAAGAACCTGCAAAAGTGTTTTCAACCTGCCAATGTTTCCCCGCACTGGGACTCTAATTCAGGACCTCTTGAGTTCACTCGCCACGCTCCATACCTCTTCACCAAGCAGCCACAGACGTACTAACTCGGGCTGACGCATAAAAATCTAACTGCCTCAACCCAATATTTCCAAAACACAATTTTCGAAAATTCTGAGAGATCAATGAAAACGAGACCTCCATAACTCTTTTAAGTGTCCTTTGTTTTATCCGTGGAAAGAATTTAAAGGAAAACATCGGAGCGATTTTTGAGAAAACATTCTCTTTATAATTTGCATTAAATTCTACAAAGATTAGGTAAAAAGTACTCTTTTTTTAAAATATTTGTACATGCCCTTTTTTAAAGATCTGATTTTTAGAACATATTTTGTTTAAGGCAAAAATCTATATCTTCAATTTTGTAGTTTTGAAATGTTAACTTTTTGCAATATTTGGAAATATGGAGAGTTAAGGGAAAAAGTCTCTATCTTCAATATTGTAGCTGTAGGAAGATGCTGGAAAAATTACCTTTTGCAATTTTCGAAAAACTAGTGACGTAAATGAAAATGATACATTTACCAATTGTTTAAAGGTCTTTTACGCTATCTGAGGACAAAACATAATAAAAAATTTGGAGCAATTTTTGAGAATATTTTTAAAATGTTGAGGGGTAATGTAAAGTACCCTCCAAACATCAAAATATCCGTTTCAAACTCGCAAAGCATTGAGTTTGTTTAGGGCGATCGGGGAATATCAATTTTGGAGAAAATCGGCTAAACGGTTTGGGTGCTAGCGTTAACCACAGACGGATAGACAGACATTTTGCAGTCAATCGATTTCTCGGTATCAAGGAACCACAAAACATAAATTCTCAACTACACAACATCTTAGAGAACGTAATTTACTATATAAGACCGTACATGAACAAGGTTTATCCATTTTTTAATTTCCAGGGCCTTGCAATAAGAGTTTTTGTGCCTGAAATTCGCCGCTTTCCGACGCACGATTTCATACTTTTTCTTACGAAGTAAGTGCGGGAAAGTAAAAACGATCACAAAATACAACCACTGAAAAAACTATATTTTAATTTCTGTATTAATACATTTCAGTCTGCTCTGCGATGAATACATGGAATTGAGTGGCGTGTGTTGATGATCAAAGTACAATGAAACACAGGGCAGTACGTAGAATCCCTAGAAAATCTATCACCTCACATCCCATTTGGACTCTCCAGTAACTGAAGCTCTATCCCAGCGGTTGAAGGCGAGAGGTCTGCCCGCTGCAGCACGGGACGCCTCCCCCCTCATGTTGTCGATTATTCTTCCCCTTTTACGTTGTGTAATTGCGAATTATTCGTCATTACGCAAGCGTTTCCATCATTCGGGCTCGCTTGGTGTGGAGCGAAGCAGGGCCCCGCATGTGCGCGCTCGCGCGTGCGGAGCGGCGAAAGCGCGGCCCGGAGCAGCGGCGTTCGCAGGCCTGGCAGCGTCAGTCGCAGTGGCCGGCATGGGGGCGCGAGACGGCGGTGCGGTGCTCCTGCTGCTGGGCCTCGCGACGGCGCTGGCGGCGCGGGGCGCCGGGGCACAGGCGCGTCCCTTCCAGCCGCCCACCCCGCCCGCGCCCACGGGCCCGGTGCTGGTCCTTACGGCCGACAACTGCACACAGACCGTCACGCTGGCGCCGCCGCTCTATCAGGTGATGCCCTTCTTTCCAGCCAGGGGACGATTACTATACTCGTCTGAGTGAAGCAGAAAGAGGGTAGATATGATGGACCTGGGTTTCTTTGTTACCACCCATCATCTGATTGATTCGATATCCCCTTCGTGCCTAGTGTGGTTCTTACCCAACCAAGCCACGCCTGGCTGCCCTATTAGCACCGCGAACAGTCGTACCTCAATACGCTTCCGATGGCCAGAAAAAACCGCTTTCACAAAAACAAAAACACATATTAATGGAAACCTACAGTTCAAATTCCATGATCCTAGCTTCAGTAGTTTTGTCTTGGGGTTGTTTTATCATTAAATAAGTCCGTTTGTTACGTACGAAAAAACTTAACCTTACATTAGGTAGGAAACTAATTTTATATGAGTATTATGTATGTTATATGTTACATTATATAGTATTATGTAAGCTATTTTTATGTAATCTATTCGAGGCTAGTTTAATCTAATTTCAGTCATTTTGTAGCTCTAAAATATAAAGTACAATGTTTTAATTTTGCACATTTTATAATTTCATTTATTACATTACATTCAGTGCAATAATTAATTTTAGATTTGCAGCACTTCAATGTGACGTTCGTATGATTTTAATTCTGTCCATTCATTACCTCAGGCGCAGGAGTTCCGGCTGCTGCAGGAGCCGGGGTTGCGTTGCGTGTTGACCTTCGTGGCAGCACCTCCTGAGCCCTGGCGGCCGCTGCAGTGGCCCTCCAACCCCTACCCGGCTTACGGAGAATGGCGCCGCCGTGCTCGCTCCGCCGGGCCCGCCCCTACCTCCGCCCCCGCCTCCGCTCCCGCCCTCGCATACACTCAGCAGCGGGGTAGAGGCGAGACAGACGGTAAGGACGGCTGAAATAGATTGATCTATCACTGAGAGCTTCGGGCAATGATTGCTGTGGGTGCTGCCCGTGACTGTGGGAGATCCTAGGTTTCATGACCCGATGGTGGCGGATTTTCGATACCAGCTAGACAGGTAAGTTGTATTTAGCCGCTGTCGGGAGGTGAGTTCAAGACGGCCGGCTGCTTTGATCTTTTTGTTTCTTCGGCCAGTGCCAGGTAATATACCTTTGTAGTACCGTAACAAACGGGTCGCGCGGTATATCCTCATCTTATATCCTTCCTGTGAGCTTAAACATACACTCACTACATCGTCCATACATGTCGGAAAACCAGTCGGGGGCTACAGCTTGACCTGGTTGAGCCGGTGACCCACTGGTGAAGATTTCTGGAGAGGGAACCTCCCGGCAAGACAACGTGTAGGTCAGCACCGGATTTCTTGTTCAAGTTCATTTTGGTGAATATTGAGGCGTTAACCCTTCACGACTCCCAGCCAACAACTTTCTCTTTAAGTAATATTAAAATTTCATAATAAAGATAGTAACGCAGTAAAGATTGTTTTAGATTCTCTCTTATAGAATGTCTCAGAATAAATGTAAGAAACTTAAAAGAGTCGAAGACGATCGTTTTTTGTCAATGAACATTTGAAAAGTTTCATGTAAGGAAGTTAGACGCGATTAAATTTTAACAACGCGCCCCTGAATGATAGGCAACTCAACCTACACTGCGGTTTGGCAGCTAAACGAAACTTCGGGGGGTGAAAGGATAAGTCAATGACAATGACAATATCGAGTTACTGTCTGTTATATGCGTAGTACCCTGGCTGAGAGAATACGTATGGAGCTCGATGAAGGGGGAATGAGGCGAAAATGGCCACCATTTCTTTAAATGAGATTATTTGTTCCGGTTAGCGTGGGCTGCGACGATGATGTTGGAGTTATGTGGCCCACTGTCGCAAGCACAGGAACCTGCGTTTGGTGTCCCCAACACCGTTGGAGGTGCCAAATACAACTTTAAAACATATTTTTAACAATGTATAGTTCATCAATATTTATAATATAGACAATACATTCACATTAAATTAATTAAACAATGTATTTTAAAATTCATTGAATTTATTTAACATTTTAAACAATTATGTATACTTTATTACGATTTTGAAATCAAACATAAGAATTATTTGTAATTTTAGTTGTAGTTGCGATTTTCTCTCGGTAACCGTTTCTGCAAAGCTATCTCTAACATCACCCGCATTAATTAATTTCAAATTTTGTTGCTCCACAAAACCTATCAGGAGTGGCTCTTAGCTTTTTAAAATAACTATACATGATTAGAAAACGCCGTTTCACGTCTGCAACTACTGACTGAAATTGTTCAAAATCATAAACGACTTCATACAAATGAGGATATGTGTTGTTTGTATCAACTTCATTTTACCAGTCTATCATTTTGTAAACCGTTTTTTTTATGTATAAGCCTCTTCACTGTGGCACTGCAGCAGATTAATCTCCGCCATTAGCGCGAAAAATCAACACTAAATTGTTTCGAAGTAACTTTAGTATCATCTTCAGACGCTCTAAATTCTAGAAATTTTACAACTCCAGTGATGAGATCTGTAGTTTCCTGAGAATAAATTGGATAATTTCTGCAACGCATGTATTAAGAACAGAAAAACTTATTTATTGATTGATTAGTGATTCCGGGCGCGAAAGCGGTTGTCATGTCCTGGATGTCTTGTGCATGTTTTTGCGCGGGAGGAGGCAGTGATCTTTCCCTGCTGGATGGCGAGATTCGGCGTCGACATACTTGCGGGGATTTTTCGCAACCAGATATCTCCCATCAGCGGAACACCGCCCCAATCGGGACGCTCTCAGCTCCCGACTGGTCTCCTGACATGTGTGGTAGTGTTGTGCATGTGAGTGTAAGTAAGGAGTAAGGCTACGACAAGGAAGAGGAATGAAAGATCGCGCGCGGCCGTGGCCCATTTGTTAGAGCACTACTCTAGCATTCGCCTGGTATTGATCGGAGAAAACAGAATTCTCCTCCAGCCAGTGGTTGAATTCGACCTAGCCATCTAGCTAGTATCAAAACCCTTCCACACACAAAGTGACATTTAAAGTTTTTTGTTACTATCTTGCAGAGTACATTACTTTTAAATAATAAGAAATAATATAAATTTTATTTGAAGAAACAATTCCTGATGATAGTGGACCAGGAGAGTAATTTAAATAATCTTCTTAGTTGTGTTTATTTGCATGGTTTCCAAATCTGCAAGTGTTTCATAATCGGCAGCTGACTACATTTTTTTGCCTTACTGATATTCTTTTTATTTTAATTTAAGCGTACAAATGATTATGTTACATTAAAATAAGTAGTATCAGATACGATCTGACGAAAGTATTTTGTTTTCTTTGTTGCATACTCATATTTATCTGATCATTTGAGCATCGTCTCATTTTAACACAAGTGCTTAAAATGGAACTTTTAGCGCGATTTGCAGGAACTAAAAGTAACCGTTTGGGGATGTCTAAAATCTAATTTGATTTATTCTTCCTGTCTCTTATGTGCCTGAATTGTTTCTTCTAAAATCAGGGGTTGTTGATGTTTCGTAATTGTTGAATATGAATTATTGGGGATTAATTTATACCTATGTGTGTCTGAGCTCCTGCTTAGTATGTTAGTGCTTTCATTCACCGCTGGTTGCGCAGCTTCCGGTAAGGCAAGGAGCTTCTCCCCGTGGGGCGGGGGCGGCTCGCTCTACTCTCCGACGGCGTCCTTCTCCTACGGCCCTCCGGCCCCAGCGTCAGGACCAGCCCCCGGGGCCTACGGCCCGCCACAGCCGCCGCGCCCCCCTCCGACAGGTATGATTTGTTTCTTGAACGGAATGCTTCAGAATATTATTTCGTATTTCCGGGCACATCAACTGCTACGGTCATTAATCCCGTAGTGAAATGCATGTTTTTATCTCGGGAGGTGGCGGTGTACTTCCACAGCTTGATGGTGAGATTCGGCGCCGACCTACACATCGGTTTGCGGGTTTCGCCCGTCCAGGTATCTCCCACCAGCCGGGACAAACTCTAAGCTCCCGACAAGTATGGTAGTGCAGTACGTGTAAGTAAGAGGCAAAGAAAGAGGAAAGAAAGATCGTGCGCTATCCATGGTCGGTTTGTTAGGGTTGTGATCCAGTTTTTGCGTAGTATTCTTCGATAAAACCACGGAAAACTATCGAATAGAACAGCAATCCTCTAGAAATCTCCTCCATGCAGAGTCTGAATTCGATCAAGCTAACTAGCTAGGGCCGAATAACTTGCCACTGTCGAGACTCGAATGTTCCGACCTCCCGGTCAGAGGCACTGCAGTGACATCAGATAACAGCAAAGAAAACACCTCGGCCAGTGTCTCAGAAGAAAAGCAAACGTCTAGGCTTTTTCTGTCTACGTTCGAAGATCACTTTTTGCCAATGGTCATCTACTCTGGTGGGAAATATCGTAAATCACAGTTTGTCACATTGACCCTTGACTGGTAGGACACTCATCTTGCACCGGTGTTTGGTAGTTATACGAAATCTCTTTGATTGCACCAGTGTGAATATCCGCCAAACACAAATGCATGTTAGCCAGCCTACTAAGAGGAGGCCCAACTTATTTTTCAAATGCAATATAAAATCAGTGTTTTACGGGCAATATACGGGCAGCGCGGACCCGCGGATTGCATTTGCCCCTTTTTAAATTTATTTTTTATATAATTCATTGCTAAATTTCAGGTTCAGATATTCATAAATTCGTTAAAAATTAAGGATATATTTCCATTGCAATTTTTAAACTAATTGGACGATCAATTAGAGCTCTCAAGATTTTTGCATCACGTGATATTTCTTGTTTATATGATTTCTACCTTCTCACCTAAATTATTGTAATGCTACAGAGTAACGTGGCAATTTTTCATCAGAAAAACTCGTACTGTGGGGCCCTGATATCGAAACGTTGATAAATCTTATTCCTACGATAAGTAGTAAATTACTTCTTCTAATATGTTGTGTAATCAAAATCCAAATCTTCAGGGTCCTTCATGCCGAAAAACTGCTTGACGGTGTCTGTGGTCAACACTAGCCGATAAAACGTTCAGACGATTTTCTCCAAAACTGATAGTCTTTATCAATCAGACCATACTCTAAGCCCTGCAAAATTGAAATTGATATTTGAATTATTTGGGGATTCTTTACATGAAACCTTACATTTTCTTAAAAAAAGGGGGAACTGTTTTTGCTTACATTTATCGTGTGAAAGAAGGTAGGAACCTTTAAAAAAATGGCACAGGTCTAATTTTCGGGGAATTCCCTGAATTTTCGAAAATTGCAAAAGTTACCCATAATGCGAGAAAGTATTTGCTGTTGTAGTACCACTAGTGTTTTATAAGATGATAGTACTATGGAAAATATTGAACGACACACGGCGAATAACACAAATAACAGACTCGATGAGTTGTGAGCCTCGACTTATAAACTTCAACCGCGAATGTTGTTAGCCGTGTGTCTGCACCTCCTGTTCCAGAGTCGCACCACTATGACCACCATCCGGTGCCGGAGTTCGTGCAGGTGGTGTCGGCGCCCAAGTGGCACGGCGCGCCCGACCCTGCCCCGCCGCCCGGCCCGCCGCCGCCGGAGGCGTGGCTATGGTGGTGGTGGTGGCAGCGGGAGGCCGCCGCCGCCGAGCCGCCCCCGCGGCCACCGCCCGCGGCCGTGCGCGCTCGCCTGCTGGTGCAGCTGCGTGACGTGGACGTGAGCCCGGGCGTGTTCGACTGCGAGATGGGCGGCGCGCGTGTGTACAGCGTGCTGCAGGGACTGCCCACGCTGCTGCTGTCGTGAGTCCTTTGATACTGCACTGCGTTTGGTCAGCGGAAATTTACTGAGGAATTGGCAGCTAAACTATTCAGTCACGCTAGCGATTATTTTCACACTAATTTCTGCCGAATCAAGTTGGGGCTAGGTTCAAGAGAACTGAGTAGAAACGATTCGTATTAATTTCACAAACTGGGTTACTTGTGCTGGAGCTGTGATACTTTACCATTATTTTTGCCATTCCGTCAACTGGAGAATATTCGTATAAACCAATATATTTCTGTAGATTGAAAACTCAGAAAATACACTTCAAATCTATTTAATTAAATATTGTTTGTTTTGTTATTCTCTTAGTCGGTATTATTAATTAGTTGGAAAGTGAATCGCGCGGGCACTTCGATATCCAATGATTCTGAGAATCAGTTTACCTTCAACGAATATGACCTCACTTTGAATTTCTCAATAAAAGAATTCATATTAATTTTTTCACTCTTTCGTAATTATATGTATCAATTCTTACGATATCCAAACAAAATAAATTACTCGCGAAAACTTTCCCTAACCTCCAACTGCATTCTTCAAACTGACACTTCTGGGGCGTTATCAGCTGACACAGGCCACATAACTGACACACGATTTCGCAGGGCTATGCGAACTTCAGCGATTCTGATCTGTTTTGAATCTCCCAGAATAATAGCGGACTGCCAGTGGCGGATCCAGGTGGGGCATGGATGTCATGCCGCCCCCCCCCCCCCGAAAAAAAGACATACACTTTCGTTTGATAACTTCTTTTATGTGACATTACTTAAGACATGTCTTAAGCTTTTCCAATGTTCACTACACTATTTCCGTTTCGCGAGAAGTAAGAATTAATCTTGCCTTTAGATGTAGGTACTATTTTCTAGCAAGGAGAACGACAGGAACGACGTTCATTTTTGTAAAAGACATTTCAACAATGTCTTTTACAAAATTGCATTTGCAATTGGTAACTAATGTTATTACGAACTGCTCACAAAATATTAGACATTTTTTAAAATTTATTACACAGACACACAAAATAAATTTTCGTGTCTTTGTCATTAAACTGTAAAGAAGACAAAAGTTGTCAGATCCACATATTTATGTATGTCGACGTGGTGAACCCGATGTTTTTTTTTGCGATTTAAATTTTTTTTTAAATGGAGGGTGGCGACGCAATTCTGGCTTCAGATTCGGATTCAGCGCGTTGAGATACATAGAGAAACATATGTGAAGTCTTTGGGTCTGACAACTTTTTTTTGTGAGCGTGCCTCTGTTTTTATACTCCGGAAAAGGCTTTAGCATTCGCCAATGATTGGTGCGTGCCTCTTGCTGTCGCTTTTCTGAGCATCAAATGTGGGGAATTTTCTTCCACAGCGTATGCGGAGCAGACAACTCGAGCACAGCTTCCCTGTCCGAAGACGGGGTAGCCATCGTCACGTACACCTCCGGGGAAGTAGCGTCCGGCAGCGGCCTCACCGTGTCGGTGCAGACGATCCCGCAGGCCTTCGCCAGCTACTCTCCCCCGCCCTGGCAGAGGTCGTGGCGCTCTCGCCGCCAAGAGCAGCCGGCGTCGGCGGGCCGCCCTCCCTTCGCTTCGGAGCGGCTGGTCGCTCCTCCAAGCTACCCCGTCCTCCCGCGCCCTCAGACCGGCTTTCCGCCCAAGGACATCCGCTCCGAGTCGCATCCCTACGATCAAGTGGACTTTTATCCGGGCGGCTATTACTACACCGGTGGCTGCAATAATACGCGATGGGATGGGAGGGTAAAGCCGCCGAGGAAATAGAACACAACCCTCGCCGACTGTCGAACTGGGGAGCGGGCGAGGAAATGCGTGTTCAACTATCTCTATTGCAAAGAGACCCACACCCGCTGAGAATGTATGAATATGGATGTACGTTCGATCAACCCATGGTACCAAACATCAATTTTATAACAAATTATGGAATATACTTATTAAACGAAATTTTTTAGAGAAATAAAAATTATTCTCAGTAACGAAGGCGTTAATTTTTAGGCGCAGAAATTTTTAGTAACTCTTTCAAACATTAAATTCCAATAGTATAAAATGTATTGTTTTCTTTTATGAACTTTGAACGGATACTAATAAAATTACTGACAGTTTTCCGTTTATTTAATCTCTATATAAATAAAAGCAAATGTACGACGCACATATTTGCAAAAACTACTCGACCGAATTCGTTGAAATTTTCACACTTTTTTCTTACTAGTCATTGGAGTGTTTATAGAGTGATTTGAATTAATGCAGACTAGTGTGGGCGTTTCGATGATTTATTCGTTTATGACTTACGCGCCTCAACTTTACGCAACCCGCCGCACAGTCATGGATTAAGCGCGTCTTCACTACACTCCCAGACACGTAAATCAAATTTCTCCAAGATATTGTCATAACGAATGCCCAAATTTGAGACAACGTAGGATTCTTGACAAAAATGCCCAAACCAGGACATAGAACAAACTCATACTTGCGACAAAGATTTCATCCATCAGAATGTTTACACGTAGCGTGAAACGTGATTAACAATCACGTGACCAGTAATGAGTGATGTGTAATACATTGCAATGGCGAAGCATTGCAGACCCACTAGTTTTATATAAATCTAACGACCCAAATGCATTAGTGCTTTTTTTTGGGGGGGGGGAGGCGGGTCAGTGGGTCAAGCATCAACTATCTTCACTTTGCTTATATTTTTTTCTTTTATGCTGAACGTAAAAGAAAGTATTTTTACTTTACAGAAATTTATAACGTTTTCCACTGAGATATTGAACGACTTTCAAATCTATAGAGAATTAGTAGAAACTATATCGGTTATCATAATTTGGCTTCTGATTGTAGGGGCCGAAGCCCCGTGCTCCCCCCGTTATGTGCGCCCATGCTGTAAGAGTTGTCTTACACTGTGGATCCGCTACTCTACATGTGATAGTCTCTAAGGCACGCTATTACACTTGTATACTTTGTTCAGTTTTGTGAATTGTAATTTTGACATTCACGTCAAACAATTATTGGCATTAGAAGCATGAGCATGGTTGGTAACACATACAAATGATTCGCATTAGTTTTACAAACGTTGTGCTGGGGATGTGGTACTCCGTATTATTTTTGTCGTTCAGTCAATTTTAAAATGTTTGCATGAAATCAATGTAAAATTACATTTCTGAACATGCTTTTTACTTTCTCGCATACATAGGTTTACATGGAGTACACAAATGTATGCAATACTGCATAAAATCGAGATTTTCACGGAAATACAGGTTTTGGGGACCCCCGATGGCTAAAAAATTCTTTTTTAAGCCTCCGCCCACATCTGAATAACATTAGCGACTAAACTATTCATACGTTTTTCCAAAATGAATATTCCCCGGTCAATCTGACCTAAACCGAAGCCCTTGAAAAAAATCACAATCTTGGAGGTATGCCTACATGCAGCTCCTGGGAAAATTTTAAACTTTCTCACATTTTTTTCTTTAAATTTCTTGTAAGAATGGAATGAAATACACTTCTAGAGATACCATAGGTCCAGTTTTCACTGTCCACTCTGAATTATCGAAATTAAAAAAGTGATTTTTTTCGGCGTCTTCCCAAAACTACAATATTGAAGATAGATTTTTTTCCTTCCAAAATAAATTTGTTCTACACTATTAGTTCTTCCATTAACGTAAGGTACATTGTTGTTTTTTTTAGCCGTTTTCACGAAAAGTTGAACGAAATATGAGGAATATTAAAATCATTTTTTTCTTAAATATGCTCCAATTCTTTGAATGTTTTGTATGAATAGAGCTAAAAGCAGTTTATAAAATGACACACCCCATTTGTTTTAAAAAATTAAACAATTTGTTCGTTTTCTGAAATATCTCACGTCGTCAACATTAACATCAGCGGCGTTTTGTACATTATTGCATTTGCAATTGCTACTGCTTGGAATGATGTCGAATTAACTTTTTCGAAAACTTGGAACACTTTTCTGAGAAAATGAGCTAAAAATCCCGCATTTTCAGAAGCGCTCAGAATTTTTTCTTGTAACTTTTTGCACATAAATTGCGAAATGCACTGAAGAAAATGGTATTAACACTATTTTAATTTATTCTTATGAGTCATTTCAAATTACAAATATACTTTTTGGAATGAATCTCGCCATTAATATATTACGAACTTGTTTTATACATTATTCCATTTGTAAGTAACAGTGCTTCACATGATTTCCAATGAAATTTCTCGAAAACTTTCCAGGAAAAGAAACAGAAAATCACGCCTTTGTGGGAATGGTGAAATGACATTTTCCAAAAATCTGTTCCTAATTTTGTACAAAAATTTGCAGATAGGCCCAGGTTTTCCCTTCTATAATATTCTTAAAGCAATATTGTAGTTACATTATGGAACAGAAAGTGTGAATAAAAATCTTTAGAGAGCAATAAATGGCAGCTGGAAAGATAGGGAGGGGCGAGAATGAAAAGCTAGCAGACTAAAGAAGTAACTTGTACAAGAAAGTCTGTCTTTCTGAAGCACTAGTTATGAAATATTATTTATACGCATAATTCCTTAATAAATATTTGGTCATACCAGTTTTCTCGAAATTGCCCATTTAAATGAGGGGGGCGTGTTTTTTTATGTCAGTTTCAAGATTTAATTCAAATGTATACACTATCTCACCAGTGACCCCCGCCAATGTTAACTTTAAGCAATTTTCGAAAATACAGAGAGCGGCGAAAATAGGACTAGCACCGAATTTTTTACCATCCATTGATACATGAGAAAATGTAAAGAAATAATGGGAGAGGTCATTCGTTTTTAAAAATTGTATAAATTTCACAAAATCCATTCTTCAACAAAATAAAAACTGCCTTTTTTTTAAAGGTCTGATTTTTTACAACAAGGCTATCAATTTTGTACTTTTGAAATGTTTAGTTTTCGCAATTTCCGAAAATACGGGCAGTTTGCTAAAAATGGGATTAGCACCAAATTTTTGGTCCCATGATACATACGAGAAAATTTAAAGAAAAAAATTATTACAGTTTTTGAGAAAAAAATTGCCTATATTAACACAAAATAAGGCAAAACATTACATTTTCGAAAAATTGTACGTGCGTGTCTTTAAGAACAGACTTCATTAAGGGAAAACATCTCTCTTGAATATTGTAGTTGTAGGCAGACACCCCCCAGAACATTTGTACTTTAGCAATTTTGGAAAAAGTAGGGATTTCAACAAAAATTAGACTAGCATCATTCTTTTATCCGAGGTCAAACAAAAAAATTAGGAGAAATTTTTGAAAATGACCCAGACTTCAATCAATATATCCGTCTGAAATTCCCAAAGCCCCGCATTCGTTGTGATCGATGGGGGAATATCAATTTTGGAGAAAATCGGCGGAACGGGTTAGGAGATAGCATTGACGTCAAACGGAAGCACACGCGGACATTTTGTTGTCAATAGATTTTTCTGTATCAAGGACTCACAAAACATGAGTTCTGGTTACACACGTGCTAGACGTTAGAGGATGCAATTTACTGCTTATAAGAATATTATTTTTCAATTTTTCTGTTATGAGAGCCCAACATTACGACCGAAAAATCGCCATTTACCAGCGCACAATTACAAATTCTCTTCTTCTGAATGGCAAGAAAGTCAAATGTAATCAGCATTAAGCACAAAGTTCTAATTATTGAAAAACAGTTTGTTAAATATGAATTCCTTACTATATTGCGGCAGGTTTTGTTCAGTTTTTGAACAAATTTTGTCTTCATAAAATTCATTTTGAAATTTAAAATAAAGGAGCCTGGTCTTCATGGGGTCAAGATCTTGAGTTCTGAAGATGAAATATTAATATTATATTATCTCATCTTTTCCATGAGAGATTCCAACAACCACACTTCCAAATAATAAGCTTCCTTTGTCATTTTTTATGTCCTTGTAAATACTCTTCTTTCTAATTAACAAAATGGTAATTTCTTTACAAATTAGACATTGGAGTTTCCAAGGCTGATGAACTCGTCAGTGGAATTTTTTTCCAAATGTTTCATCAACAACGATGACAAAGAACTTCAGTGGTGGCGTGGTAATGGGTGAAGGACCCTCTTGGTCATCTGGCCGACTGGCATTTCCACTCACTTCAGTACGAGAGATCTTCGCTTGTTTTTTTCTGTCACTGAGTTCTATGTACTCATCAGTTTCTGATACAGAAATGATGTAGCTCTTAAAATATATTTTATTACAATAAACAAAATGCCATATCTTCAACATAATGCCACATAACCTCATTGAATCTTGTCTTACTTTTAATAAATTATTGTTACTTATTTCAATATTTCCAGTTAGGAAATAAAGGCTAAGGAAATGGTACAAATGCAAGTAATTACAAGACATACTATTTCAAAATCAGATATTTTATACATTTTTATGTACATTATGAGAAAGAGACGATGTTTAGTAATTAAATATTTTTCGAGATTATACATTGCAGTTGAGGGCAGGTATGTGATGAATGTATTCTATGCTATACATAATCTGGTTCACAAATGAGGAGAGGGGTTGAACACTATGTCTTTTTGAGTTTTCATTTGTAAAATGTGACATTTGATACTGTAACAAAATGTTATATACAGTGATTAAAGATCCCCAAGATGTGCCAACTCTCATTTACAGTACTACACCATTATTAAAATTTTAACTAAATATCACGGGATACAAGCATGCTATAGCAGAAACACAAAAAAAAAAACAGTAATCTATTATCTTATACCATAAAAACAAGAGAGAAACACACTGCTCTTGCTCTTAATGAGAATTTTACACTATGGATTCATTCCAGTATTGTAATTTTACAATTACACTTCAACATTATCACAAAATATCAAATACACAATCAACAGTTTACATTATCCACAGAAACAACTTTCATAGAACTCTTATAAAGATGTAGGTACAAAAAATATGTACAAAATTATGAAAATGTTTTGAAGGATTGACAGATGCTATAAGGGAATATGTCACAACATTACTGGATTTATCTTGAATCTGCAGCACTAAACAATATGCATTGTTTATAATGCATAATCTTGGAAGGTGACAATGCTTGTATACTACCCATAGATTTACACAATCTACCAATGTTTATGGCATTTTCAAAGTCAGCAAACAACACAAGACTGGTGAGTAGTAAGCACATCCCAGGATGTAGTGTTGGTCACCGAAAAGTGGTGAAAACTGTAGCATACAAATACTACAAAAAATGCAGTTTAAAACATCTACTTATTTATCCTTGATTTTCATGTTTCAACACTACATAAAACTTCATTAAAGGAAACAAGTTACATAACAAAACATCAATGTTCATGAACTAATAATAATAGTTCAGTCTGCCAAAAATTGCTATTCTACAGTACTTGCAGTTATGCAACTTCTTTTGTATACTTAGCAAGATTTGTAATGATCTAGAACTTCAGTTTCATTATAACACCACATTCACATACTGATGATGGGAAGTACAGGAAAACATTTAACTGTACTACACACCCTTCTATTAATTATTCACCAGACTTAAAAAAATGTTCACTAAGAAGTGATTTCATACACAAACAAATACTGTATGGATCAAACCAGCAACACAGAAAGCATCTAATGATCACAATTTTGCACAAATACCAAATATTTTATTAATGACAATCACTGAACTTCCCATCTTCTCAAAGAATTGTTTTAAACTTCAGAAATGCACAGCACACATAAAGGAACTTCCAATTGCACACAAGACACTGATGTGAACACGATGTGAACACCGACAGACCACATCCAGTAGATAAACTGCCCACATGCACAAATCCACCCCATTAACAAGTTTGCCTGCCATGAAATTCTCCATTGATTTCTTCATTTATCCAAACATTCATCTCAATCACTTCACTCAATAAAACATCTTCAGTTAAGTTATTTGTCTATGAAACAGTTCCGATCCTAGCCAGCTTGATAATGCTATGTATATGATGAACTGAACTAGGAAAAATAGACTGAACCTCCTACATGGGTGTTTTCATACAGGTCGTTTAGCAATTAGTTTGGCATCCATAACTTTAAGCTCATGGCGAACAGCCAATTTTGCCACAGCAGCCGCAGTGACATTGGGAGTATGTCTCAGATCCACTCTCTTGAGTCCTTCACACCGAGCAAGATGTTCCAAACTGGAATCAGTAATATGTCGGCAATTAGACAAGTCCAGATTTACAAGAGTTTCAATAGTAGCTGCAGGTGGTGTGGCAAGTTGAGCCACTCCAGCATCGGTAACTCGTTGGCATGATGAAACATCCAAAGTTTCCAGGAGCGGTAAATGTTGAGTAACGTACCGAAACGCTACATCAGAAATGTCACATCCTGCTAATCTCAAAATCCTTAAAGAACGTACTCGAGATTTGCTGTCGACAAGTCCAGGACGAGAGTCTGGGGGAGGACTTAAAATTTCTCTTAATGATCCATCATTGAATCCTGTCACATAGCTGAGATCAAGAGATGTGAGTGGTGGGCACACACATGTTCGAAGAGCACTAACTCCTGACCAAGTACAACCTTGTAGAGACAGCTCCCGCATCTGTGGTAACCGTGCAATAAGCCAAACTAATTGCCTCTTTGGCACATTTGTCCAGTCAAGACGAAGGGCTTCAGGCTGCCTTCGAACAACACCTGTGAGGTGAGCAGCAGTCAGATGATTGTGGGAGAGATTCATTCGCCGCCAAAGAGACGGGTCTATACTGTATTTTGACCACAAACGACAAACTGCAGCGCAACGAGCAAGGTCAGCAGGTGATAAATACTGGAACACAGGGAGAATGATGTTACGGTCTAGTGCTGGATTACTTCCTGAACCTCCATTGCGAGAGTCATGGCAACCATCTCCATTGGCCATGTCGCCATTGGCACCAGATTTCTGACCACCAGCTGGTCGCACCACATACTGGGGCCTCCGCAATGTCTTATTTGAGTTTGCCGACATTTGATGAGCCAGGTGGGTGCGAAGAGCAAGTTTACGTGGTTCACTAGAGGCATTTGACATTCCATTGGGAGCAGATGCAGCACTGTTTGGTCGGCTGGCACTGGCTGATCCTGAGCACTGAGGCTGCGAGTCTGGACTTCGACTGCCTTTGATGCCACTGGCATGGTCTGGTAAAGCAGTCTTAGTACCATCTTCCCATTGAGATTTTGTCTGTGGAAATACAATTTTTTTCAATACTACATGTATACATGTTCAAATTTAAGGAATTAGAAAATACTGCACTGAAATCAGAACTGGTAATATTATTCACTAACTTTACTGAAATGTTTAAATGGTTAATTACTGGTTATGCTTTCACTAAAAGATAATGTCAAATCAGAAACAGAAATTTCCTTAAAATATACAGAAAACTAAAATTATTTGGAACTTCATAATATAAAAATAAAATACACAGTTTGCACTTCCTTACCATTTTTGTGAACAAATAATTCAACAATTTTACAAACAGAGTGGACACACTTTCGGTGCTTGCATAACCAGAGGGAAAAGTGCTTTATGCAAAAATGCTATGAGAAAGCCATGAGCTAACATACCTGTGCATTAAGAGTAGAGAGCAAGGGCATTAACACATACAGGGCAGCTGCCCTTATGAATTGGGGTGAACGTGCCAAGTAGATGCTAAATCTGAACCAGGCAGTATTGCAGGCACTAAAATGCAACCATAACATACCATTCTCGCATCATGCATCATTTGTCACCTTTCATTAAAAAGCATGCAAGTCCAAGCAAGTATATTTTTAGGGGAGAGCAGAACAACTCACTTATAATAAACTGTTACTACGAAGTAAAAATAAAAACTTCAATTTGTAATGAGACTTAAAATTATTATTGAAAGATTTTCAATTATTATAAATTAGTTAGTAATAAATTGTCTAATCTCACTTTATAAAAGGCTTTATCAATTATTCAAATTACCTAAATTGCCCTGCAAAGATGCAGAGATGTTGCAGACTTTCATACTACATTTTTAACTACAAATTTCTCAGGGTGGGGGGCTTTCAATTTGTTATTTAATGGCAAAACCAGGGTAAATTGAACTAACATGATCTTTAAAGAAAGGTGACAATACAGCAAATCAAGTAGCAATTAAGCAGTAGGGATCATAATTTGTTTGTGGTAAAAGAAACTTGGCAATTCCAAAGAGAAACACAATGGAAATTAAAATTCATGCAAAGTTACAAGCATTAACACCAAAATTAAACATACATGCATGAAAAATAAAATATTAACAACAAAATAGCAAAGAAATAAACTGTGAAAAGAAAAAAGATATTTATGAAGAGGATAAGAAGTATTTGATAAAAAATACTAAGACTAAAAATTTGTCAAGATATAGGAGCATCTATATAATTATTTCTTAATGTTTTTCTGTAATGTCTCTTTTCTAAGACAAAGGAACTAATTTTATTTTATTTACTACAATTTTAATGGCCTCATAATAAGCTAAAGAGTTTTGAGACCAATTAACATGATATCTATGATTGGAAATGAAAAGAGGGGTGTTGTATTGTATTTAATTTGTTTTCCTTAATATTCCAGAAAATTGACTACCTCTTTCACAGCACACGATTCATAAGATTCAAAATTCACTTTGAGAAGTCCACCTTCCCAGTAACATTAAGCAATGTACAAGAGATTCATAAAATAATTTGAAAACATTAAATTAACACTAATTTTTGTTACTTTTCAACTATTTTTTTATACACCCAATATCCCTTTAACAATATGCCAATATAAAATAAATCTTTAATATTCAGTTCAGTGTCTTCTTTGCACTAGCAGAAAGCATGAGAAACATGCACAAAACACAGTAGCATTTGGGTGCCTTCTGTTAATAGCCTGAATAGCATTGCATGTCACTGTTAAAAACATGAATTGAATAATGAAGTGTCAACAAAGACAAACTTGTGCATAACATTGCTCAAATTCAGCTTCAAGTTCCCATGGTAAAATCAAGGCAACAAACATGCCTTTCTAGGCTTGGTGTGGCGAGTCAAAACTAGGCAATACAAATTCAGATAACCTTCCAGATTTGGGAAAAGATGGCAAAACACGCAAGTCTTCCTATTGACATATTTGAAATGATGACCAGCCTCCGGCTGGCAGACATCACTTTTATAACAAATTTCCTTCATACTGTTTAGAAAAGTTATTCACTTGTGGTTTGCAAGACATCTAAATCTTTATCAGCGATTTTTAAAGGCAAACAATTTTTTGAGTAATGGTCAAATGACTGATAAATCTGAAATTAATTCCACAAGTATTTGATGAAATTCACAAAGTGATCAACAGTTTTATTAGTTCGCAGATAACACACCGGATACTGATTTCATTAATAAGTCATGTCTTTATTACACTTAACGAAACCTATTCACTTTATACAAGTTAGTAGTTTTAATTTTCTCCATGTGTTTTTTAGAATATGGATAGTTGAACTGTTGTATTGTCACGACAAACTTTATCTTCTCATAATATCCTCTTGAACAAAACATTCAACCCATGTATCTAAAAACTGCAGGTCTGGTAAATTTTCAGTATTCATCAAGGAGCTCAAATTATTACAATTGATGTTCCCTGAGGAATTAATTTTACCCAAAACAAGCTTCACCAAGTAATTATAGTATGCATGTGCGAAGTCAGTAAATGTTACTTAAAAACACAACGAACACTAAACACAATTTCTTCATGATTAATACTTCCATGGCACTTTAACTACACGATATACTCGGTTCAAACATTTCAGATCTCAGAGGAGGTAGGTCTGTCGCTCAACAGAGTTTAGATGTATAATTGTTCTTCACTTACATCTCAAGAATTCTTAATGAAGGGTTGTAAACCTGAACTTTTCTTTTATAAGAGGTTGTGAAGAGATATATGAAAACTTAGAGAGAATAAAAAAAATACTATAGCCCTGAATCGCAAGTGGATTTACTGTAGGCACCTCAGACTAATTACCCGAATAATTATTTACTTTTTATATTAATACTTCAATTGAATGACCTTTCTGGACAGTATATTCTTGGCACATCATACCGTATTAATAATTCGCCTAACAAAGACAATACACATTCAAAGTAGATTTTACAACAATGGATCAGTGACAAAAAGGAAATGAGACTTCTGAAAATCGAGTAAGAGACACACACGAGAGAAGCATATAGCTGAGGCTGGCAGGGACTCCCAGTAATTCTTATCCTTGATCAGAATTTTAATCATTGTAAGTTTTTCCAATTTACAAAGATACTTTATTAAAATTGCATAAATTACGGTAAACAGAAGATAAATAATATGAATAAAGATTGAAATAAATGTTTGGAACAATAACAACAATGTTTCAATGTGCTACACTCATATCACATTCTTCAGTATACTGCAGTTTGGCAGACAGAGAAGAACATCTTTACAATCGTAAGATATAAGCACAGAAAATTATTTGTTCTTCACTTAAATGCATGACAGAACAGTTTACCATAAAATCAGTGTTAATACATTTCTGTCATTTACTGAAGGAATCATTTATAATGAATGTGATTTAAATTCACAATCATATTGTATTTTGGTTTGCAATAGTAAAACCATTTTTATGGCAATCCAAAAGATTCCTATACACTAAAATCATGAAAAGTATTGTTTTTCAAAATAAAGTGAAAGCCAACAAATAATGAGAGGAATGTGCTCATGGAAACATTTCTGTATAGTTCAAATAAAATATTTCCATATTTAGACTTTCTATATGTTAGTCTTACCAACAGGCATTATTATTTTCTCTTTTCTGGTGTAATAGCTTATTAATACAATGTCATTAATTGCAGCATTCGACTGTTAAATCCAACTCTTAATTCTTTGCATCAGCAAAATTGAAACAATAAATACTCTGAAATTGACAATGGCATGTAGATGCAAAGTACTATTCCTGCATATTGGTGCTCCTCATTCAGATGATGTACAATCAAATAAGAAATACATTTCATTATTTCGGAAAAGCGAATAAAAAAAAAAAAAAAAAAAAAAAAAAAAAAATGAAGGAAAGTATGTAACTGATAATTCCATTATAATTGAAAATCTAAACAAAAACAAAATTTATACTCAAAGCTCACATGAAAACTATGGGTATGTGCAGATTATATTACAGGCAAGGAAGAATCTACACAAATGAAATCGACTGAAGTAGCACAAAATTGTACTGATCATTTGTATACTACAGAGGAGTAACTGAAAAAATTTTTTTGTGTCAATTTCAATACATTTTGTGTTAAAGGCATTTAAATTACAATCTTGCTTTAGAGGCTAGAATCAATAAAATAACACGTTACTCACCTCTCCAGGTGATGCATCTGGTTCCAATTTTGGTCTCTTGAGGGGAATTGGGCCATCACCGTACGATGATTTTGGAGTGCCAGAATTGCTGACACTACTAGCATCTCCCTCCATATCTTCTCCATCAATACCTTCTTGCATTTCCTGTTTTACAGTAACAGCAGTACTTCCTGGCGATGGAGATGCACTACTTGTAGCCGTTGAGGAAGTTGCTGTAGCAGGTAACGATGACGAAGTAGGGGTTGCAGCACTGACAGCAGTTACTGCAGCAGTGGATCCCATGTGGGGTAATGACAGATGATCTTTTGATTCAACCATGGAACTAGTGTCAGAACTAACAGACATTCTCCGCACTTCAGACGATTTCTGTCGAGCTCGAAAATGACGGGGCTGAATTCAACGAATAAAACAATATTTTGGTGAGAATAGAATGGCAAAAATAACTTTTCTAAAGAACATTTTTTCAATAAGAAACAAAGACCTACCTTGTACTCAATGTTTTTACCATCTTTACAACACTTTGGACACTCCCAACTATTGGGAAGATCCTCATTCACAATTCCATCTGAATCAGGACACTGAAAACAATAAAAAATCAGAATAAAAATATTACATTAGTTAATATGGTTAAATGAAATGATAGTATTTAATTAACTTACTTGTTTTGCAATACAGTCAGGATGAATTATTTCGTAACAAACACTGCATTCCATTAATGAACTTGCTGTTTCTCGATTAGTCTTTTGTATGGGAACAACTGGTTCTTGTCCCCAACCATCTAAACCACATGTAACACATGCTGCCGTAATTGGTAACATTGGCTAAAAAAATAATCAAAAACAAATTAATAAAAATGCTGCAATACTTCACAAAACTTTATCACAACAAATTACATGCTCCCACCATAATCCAGTGCATTCTTCAATTAAAAAATGTAATTATTTCCATAAAAATCAGACTATCAAGGAGCAGATCTGATTCAAATGCAGGAACATAACATTCAAATAATAACAAGAACAAAAATATGTTTTGGATTGGGCAAATCAGTACAGTGAGTTGCAAAAATCTTTTAATTCCTCAGATTTTGAGCAGTAATAGCCAAACAGCACAGCACAAGCTGATTAAAGAAAATTTCTCACCTGGAGACATTGCCGCATGACACATGTTTGCTTGGCCCTCCCAGGTCCACCAAACTTAACCATATCCATACAGAATGAGCATTCGCCACAGTCTTGTCTCTGACATGCTTCACACTTCTTGCACCGAGTACGCCGTCGACGTGGGCCTTGCCCTCCACGACCTTTCCCTGGACCTGAAGCAGAACCTCCACCCAATCCAGCCTTATGTTTCCCAGGCACACCCATCCCTCGATGCATAGAATTCTTCATCATCATCTTCATTCCCTTTGATTTTTCCTAAAAGTAAAATAAAAATCTTGAGTAAAATCATTAAATATAACTTACATTATATAACTCATATTATACCTTTATATATATATATATATATATATATATATATAGATAGATAGATAATAATTGAATAAATGAAACATACATAATCCAAAGTTCAGTACAGCTACATAATGGATAGTCTTACATATAACAAGAAAATCACAGTGGAATTATTCATGGACCCAACTCTTGTTGCTTCTTACCTTATCAGGATCGTCAAGTGTTCTCAGAATTGGACGCCCTGTCACAGCGGCTTCCGGATTGTCATAACGATGTTGTTCTACTAATGTTCGAACATCTTTAATAAGAGCAATAGGATCACGAATGAGTTCTGGAACATTTTTCTTGTTGGTTGGAAGGGAATGCAGAAACATCACAATGGCTTTTAGGCCATGCAATTCCTGAAACAAAGAACACCACACTTGTGTAACATAATTGCCATGTATTGCAAACAAAACACTTCATAGCAAAATAGGCATAACTCAAAAAGGCATGTTATTCAAGTATTTGAAATTTTCAGTTTGTGTATAACACAGTGCTGTGACAACTTTCCAATGCATTTTCAAACATTACACCAAATGTACTCAAAATAGTAGTCTTAAAAGATTAACCACTGTACTGCCACTTGAGTAAGCTGAGAAATTGCCATGACATTGACAACAACTTGCCAAATTACCTGAGGAGTGAGATGAATATGATGGGACGGATCAGGCTTGGGAGGCTCTGGTGGAGAAGGTCGAGGTGGAGAACCATCATCACCCCCGCCACCTTCGTCCAGATGTGATCGACCAAGTAGACAATGCACATACCTCTCCAAGACATACCACAACATTTCAGTGAAGAAAGGGTACCGAAATTTTTGTGGAACCTATGGTACCAGAGAAACCGTGATCATAAATGTCTTGCTATTCATCACTCATAAATCCATCTTAAAACTTTTAATCCTACATACTCACATGTGTAGTATCTTCAACTTGGGCAGTCTTCAACTGCTTCTCAATCCCATATGAATGCAAAAAGTTGCCACCAAACACAAGAGAATCACAGGGAGTAAATACTGCATGAATCCAGCCAGTTGGGATAAAAAATGTATTACCCGCTGTCAGAGTAACTCGTCCACACTTTTCTACTGTATCGCCAAAAAACACATCAGCTTGTTTACCAGACAATACCCACTGTTCATAAAGATGCAAGTTTTTCTCTGTTGGAGGAATAAGCCAAAATATCTGGAAAAGAAGATGCAATTCTTTATAAAATTATATACTTGTTCAGTAAGCCATTGCAACTTGCAATTAATTAAAAAGAAGAAAATGAAAATATACATTAGTCCATGAGACATTATAATTTGTAATGCTTTTCAATGTTCACATCCTGCAAAAATATAGGAAGATTGTGATGATTTGTGATAAAACATGTTCAACATTCATCACATTTTACAAAACGTTCTTCATAAACAATTACTTGTAAATAATCAATGTAACAATTTCTCAGAGCAATATTTTTACATACTTTTTTACTCATTACATTAGAAACAATATTTCAAATGGGCTATCACAATGCTTTAATGCAATGTACCATTTTGAAACTATTTGTTATTTTTTTATTAACTGAAAACTCCGTTTTCAATTAATCAAATACAGTTAATGATATTGGATGTAGTACAACAGAGTACAAGTGTGCAAGTTTGAATTTAAACCAATTTAACAATATTTTCATTATGGAATGAAAAATTACTATACAAATAACAATGACTGAAGTCTAGTGTATGGTACAACTTATGGAAATCATTTAAACCGGCACTTTGCGCCGCTCCGACAGCAACTGTGCAGTTTGAATTTTGGAGGCTTTATTGAAGAGTGCTTCATTATAAAAGTGAATTGGTAATTAATGTGGTGGATAGACTCAAAGACGTTAATAGTGAACATGGGCGAAGGCCCAAGCTTCGCTGTGACTTTGATCGAAGCGAGCAAAGTAGCCTTTGAAAGTAAATTGGCATTACAATTCGGCAGGGACAAAGCGTATGAAGGGTGAGCCATGAAAATTGCCTACCCGTAAGTTTTATTAATTTCTACCAGAGCATACATTTAATAAGATTTGCACTAATTTCAATTTAATTTTACACAAACCTTTGATCCTTTAAGGATATGATACCATACGGAAGTTCCACCAAAATCAACATGAAAATCTGTGTAACATCCTTTGACAGACATTAGACAATACTTCTGTACTTTGGGATACATCATATCATCCAACACATTGGTTGACTCAGTTTGTGCTTCTTTGAGATGACGAGGCCAGACACAATCCACCCAGTCAATTTGTCGCACCTGTAAATAATAATAAAAAAAAAACATTTTTTTCACACTTAGCTCATTAGCATAGCACTTATTATGCATGCAAGCAATATTCCTTACAACAGTTGGAGTTTGTATGTAGTTTTCCAACTTTGTGTGACTGAATTCCAGTGAGATGACATTAAGTAATCGATCTTTCTCAGGATCATCATAATATCGTTGCCATTCACGCATTGTCATTTCAACATTCTTTTGTGTGTTAACATCCATAACATCAAGAATTCGTCTAGAACCTGCAGAATTAACACATGACATAAAAAAAAAATATTCAAGGAGTTACGAAAGACAATATCACAATATCACACCCACTTACCCACACACATTCGAACATCATTGACAGAAAAATTAGCACTAGGCACTCGAAGTCCCAAACCAGTTTTTTCTCTAAACAAAAGAGGTGTGTTAAATCCATGACGCTGAAGGTAGGCAAGATTAAAATCTGAAAGAAAATGATATAATGACAAACATTGCGACAGTGAAAAAGTAAATATTATACACAAAATGTCAGATCTCCGAATTACCTTCTCCTTTCATTTCTTTGACAAAACATTGTGGAAATCTGTCAGTTTCAATTTTATCCTCCAGACGGAAGGACCGACGGCCCTCAATTTCCTCATCTCCAAGAGCCCAGTCATCTGTATAGTGTTTGCGTTCCTTTCGGTCTCTCTATAAATACATATCTTAATTCAAAATAATATTCAAGAGTGAAACAAAATATCCCTCAAGGGGTGAATTGAAAAAAACTTCTGTACACCTTCCAAATGCTAACAAATAATTAGGAATAAATATATTCTTGAACATGAACAAGTGAAGTTCAGCATAACAAAAACTTCACATCTACTTCCCACCTCTTTATATTCTGCAGAGTCCATTTGAGTAAATAACATTTCGTTTAAAAAGTTAAATAAAGTAAACTTAATAAATGTCGACACATTTCATCCACAACGTGGGCCGAAAAATGAACAGAGAACACCAAGAGGATTATTGTAGTAGGCACTTGTTGATCCACAAATCACGTCTCTAATTCTACCGCGCTATCGAATCGATTAAAAAAGGAAAAGGCGCATTGCGTATTTTATGCATTGTGCATCCGATCAAGCAGGTAAATCCATTTGTAAACTGTATTTGTTCAATAAACAATCATCTATTCCATTTGTCTCATTACTGAAACGTCATTAGCCCACCTAACGCAAAGGCGAGCAGGGTACAGGACCTCGATAATCAATAACATACCAAGCTAGCGCGAGTTCGCCGAACGAAAGAAGTTCCATATCTAAACTGTCAAGCACTCGGAAAGAGGAATAAGTGACGGGAGAATGAATCATACAACTTGCAAGGGGTTCTACAACCTTTTTGCCTCCAAAAGGGACCCGCGAGGAGTACTGAGAAATGAACTAATACATCGCGTCTGGGACGCGTCGTGAAGTCGCTGCGGATGCCCGCGCGATTGGTCCGAAGCGTCGTCCCGGATTCACAAGAGATTATCATGCACTCGTGTCGCAAAAGCTAAGTACTATACCAACCAAGCACCTTAAAGTGTTTTATACTTCATTTTAAATAGAAAAAGAGCATTTACATACCGGTCGAATGATATATTCTCGTTGTGGAGCAGGGCGAGAGCTGTCGCACTTCTTGCCCGTGGCGGCCATTTTGATGAACTGTGTATCCCTGGACGGGAGACGGCCGAACACGAGACCCGACACACGAGTGTACAGTCGGAGCAAAAGAAAAACAAGTTTTCGGTCTTCCTCGGACCAATCATCAATATTTATGTACCGACACACGTGCCTTAGCTCTAACTACGAACTGGACATATGTCATTATGCGTAAATTTCTCTTGACAAATTTTGCAGCACAAAGGGGGACTATAAAAGTAACATTTATAATGTTTATACTGTGAGAATGATTCTTAGTAAGAGTGAAAATTTCTCAAAAAATTATATATCAGTTCATCAAAAATCTTGAAACGGAAAAGCCATATAAGGCACATGTTACTCTACATGAAAATAATGGTAATGTTCAAGTTCATGTTTAAGGCAAAAGAAAGCGGTCAACAATCGAATAAAAACACACGGAAATCACACGCAAAGCATTTCACAACAAAACCTCTGTGTTGATCGTGCACTATTTAAATGCCAGAGGCGAAAAATGTGAATATAGAAGAGATAATTGCAATAGCCTTTTCACAACACCTGGACTTCCAACATCACACACAGGGATGCTTAACAAAGAGAAAACGCTGATGTTTTACAATACGAACACTCATTCCACACTCGCCAAACATTTGTACCGGTCCAATGCACATACAATGCACCTGTTCCTAATGTTTACATTTTGTAAACACCTGTGAGTTATGTCAACTATCAAAATCATGACCCAGATCTTAAACGTCTGAATTATAAATGACTACGGACTAACATGCCATATATTGACATTCAATGCATTCCAACAATTCTATTCTGTAAAGTAACTGCTGTCAGAAAACTATACAGAACAAAGACTGTCACTATAAAACTTTTGTGTTTACATCTTGCGAGTTCGTGACTGACACGATTACCATGATGGCGTCTGCAAAAATTTATCGGCGAAATTTTTGGTAAAACAAATCACTTTCAGGTATTGATATAATCATTACTTAAATTACAAGCTACTTTGCTTACGAGTTGTCTTGTTACTCGCTTCCCCGGATTGCTGTCGACCATTTCTAACAGCAGCACACGAATTTACGTGTTCGAAAACTATTCTTCATCACACAACACCGCTCCCCTAGCGAGCTGGCACTCGACTCCTCGCGTACCTTGTTGCGACCAGCGGAGAGACGTCACATCAGAGATACCAACACCACATGTTTTCACGATCGAAAATGTGTTAACCTAACATACCGGCAATCGTCAGAAAATAAGAACGTTACATTGGCTAACCTTAAAATGCGCACTAGCGCTCACAAGTACGTAATATTTTGCGTTAAATGCCTGAATTACTTGACTTGATTTAACCTTACAAAAGCTTCAAAATTTTCCTAGGAAACGCTAATGAAGAGCCAAAAACATGAATAATTTAGAGCGGCAACCTGTCAATCCATTAGATCCAGGCCATAAGCTCTGAATTAGTTGTTATTTATTATAGACAACTCGGGAATTCGAGCTTGTCTTTACAGTTGTCTACGAGATGGCACTACTAAACAATACAATAGACACATGTTTCTCAATTCTGAACAAATTTTACAACAGAGTTAAAAATGTTAGATTATTATTTCACACCATCAGGTTAATAATTTAACATTTCTCTCATTATTCATACTCAATGCAAATCCATTGATTTAGAAAGAAATAAAATCATTTTTCAAGGCAATATACAACTTGGTGGTGTGTCGAATTATTAAAATGACAAGTAAACGCCAATTATTCATTATCCACAAACTGTTGCCATTTTTACTCGGATTCCAAGATGTAACTTATATGTGACGAGTTTTCCAATTTGTTTTTCCTGTAATATAATGTTTAAAAACAAACAAAAACAACAAGTTCGCAAGTACATATCTACCGGTTGGTTTGTGACATTTATTATAATCACCTCGTAATCAGTTTTATCATCATTTTAGTTACTGAATAAAATATATTTTGTACTGTATACCTCTACAAATTGAAAAAAGCATGCTCTTGTTCTAATTTATAACCGCAAAACTAGCCTACAAAGGAGCGACAAATTCGTCAGCTAATCTGCGAAATGCTTGATTTAAGTTAGAGAAAAATGCTAACTTCTTGTAATACGACATTAGCAATAACTCAAACATACATTTTACCTGAAAACATTAAATTACAGAGAAAAACACTTTATTGCATTTTACGCGAAGAAGAAACACGTACGTACCCGTAAAAAAAGGAAACATCTTAAACTTTTGACAGAGTAAATAAGTTAAGCATATGACCTCCCAAGAAAATAATTAGAGGAATAAGAAATCAATTCATATTGTTTCCATATTAGCTCACAACAAAAGTTATTATTCCATAATATGGAAAACGCATTGAATACAATCACTTATCAAATTATTCTAACTAAAGTGAAACAGCGAAAATGAACGAATCTAATTGTAAAGAAAAAGATGGATCTAATAACTGCTGAAGTAAGAAAACATTTCTACAGTTTCGTATTTCAAAATAACATTACGAATATGAGAAGTATGAATAGGTATAAAACATGCTCTTTCACAAAGGCTTTTCATCACATTCACTTTTTTTCACAATGCAACTGTATAATAAATGAAATCAAATGTTATCTTATTTGAAATGGCACCTTTGGGCATATTTTAAATTATACCAAAGCGGACTGAAGCTTGAGTGTATTCAAAGGGTATATTTTAAATTATTTCGCCACTAGGCAATGACACCAGATACTTATCATTTAGAAGTCATTTAGAGTGTTAAGACAATTTCAGTATCATTCAAAAACATCTTAAATACTACATATTTTATTGTGAATTTTAATATCTCTTTATTGAAATAATCAATGAAAACTAACTAAATTAAGAATTGGGTTATTATTACATCATATTCCTTTTAAGATACTTAATTCAAACACAATATGTATTATACTAAGTTTAAAACTGAATACGTGTGATAATACATAGATTTTAACTTCGGAAAGCGACAATTTTGGTTCAGAAACAATCACGAAGATACTTAAAATTGTTTGACGTGCCTACGAGATAATATGGAAAAACTTGAGTGCAATGCTACTAGATAGCTCTGTCAGCGGTTTTGAAGTCTGTTGTTTTCCATTTCTGCTGCTAGAGGCATCACAAACGGTATTTCAAAATGACGTACATGCGCTTCAAACGAAAATGATTATTTACATTTATTGGAAGTAATACTGCAATGTTTATGAAAGTGTTATCAACAAAAAAATATTTTGGGTATTATTAGTTCAAATGTATGTGTTTAAATTTTAAAAACATCTCGTGAATAGTCTTACTAAACGATTTTAGCCCTTCGTGAGTTGTCCCAGCAATTTCTTGTTAAAGCAAATGAATTTCATTGCCATAAAAATTGGAAACGAAATTATTACACACATATTAATATTTGTTTGTGTATGAATGATATGATATGAATGTTTGAACATATATAGACATAAAATAGTGTTTTACCCTACCATTTCCTTGTAGTTGGGTGGTACCACACCCCTAGGAAAGTTTAGAAAAACATACTTACTGATGAGGTCATACAGGTAAAAAAATACTCAGGTCTAAAAATGTTATAACAAAGAAGTGTTGAAATCATTTGAAATTGTTCATGTTCAAGTCTTCTTAGCATTTTTGTAAGACTATTCAGTGAAGCTTTGTTTGCAATTTAAACACAATAGTAGAAGTAATAGTGGTAATAATAATAATAATAATAATAATAATAATAATAATAACAATAACAACTTCGGTTATTATTATTATTATTATTATTATTATATAATTTATAAATATAATAATCTATTATATTTTATATAGTTTACAAAATTTCCCTGAATGATAAATGACATAAATGTGAAGAACACGTTCAAACTATTGATCATACCGTCTCAGCTTCTCCAATTCTAGCAAAGTTCCAATACATAAAATGAATCTGGTCTCTTGTTACCACCACTGACAGATGTGTATGTGATAGACAAAATTGTTAACAAATACATTCTGATCGCACGATAGCAAACAAACAGGACATTGTAATTCTGGGCTTGGAAAAAAATCGTGACTATTACTGAATGTTGCTGTTGCCATTCGGTAAGAACGTCTTAACCAAGGAGGCAGAAAACGTCTAAAATAAGTTTAGAAGAGTTATGAAATCCATATAAGCAAGACGTGGTGAGTAAAAAGTCAGGTCGAACCGATAGTAATCGGAGCTTTGAATTTGTTCCGCAGCATTTATGTAAGAACTGGTCCAAACTCTCAGGCCAAAACATAAGTCTAAGAAGAGTAAAGACATCACATTACTTGGGACAACCCATTTTTGTGCAAAGTAATGTAGAGGCAACGCTACCTAGGGTACCCAGATGTTCCTCAGATGGCGTTGGTAGAGGCACCCACAGTCACTAATCTGCTTTTTATAGGTAGCTGAAGCTGTTACAACCAGGAAGATTTTTTTTGTTGAGCCGACACCTAACATCTTTAATCTCGAATTTAGGGAACAATGATTAATCGTCAATATCATCTGTGTGCGTAAGGGCGGGGGTCCCCTCTCCAGAACATTGTGAAAAGGGCTTGCTTGCATAATACAGCATTTCTATTTCCTTGTGTGTGTGTGTGTGTGTGTGTGTGTATGACTTAATTCCTGATGCAAGGATACATGATACGGATGAAATTTATGTATCTTCAGTATCCTCCAAACACTCATACGAGGGATCCCTGATTGTTGAGATATTTCTCCAACACTCGCATATGGATTATGAGCTACTGCAGACAGTACTGATATTTGATTATTTTCTCCAGTAGCAGAAACTCTACGTGTTCTTTTGTTCGGTTGTACACTTCCGTCAGTAGAGAATTGTTGAACAATTCTAACGAAAGAAGAACGCGATCGTACTCTGTCAGGAAACCGTTGAGCATACAAATTAACAGCAGCGTCGAAATTTCTCCCAGCTTTTCCGTAAATGATTTGAAAATCATTTCAATATTTTCTTGCACATTTACATAATCCATGATCCAACAAGGAGGAATGTTAGTTCAGAAAGGCAAATGTTTAATAAATATCGGATCGCCTCTGAAACACAGTAGGCACGGATTATGGAGAGACGCTACCAACAAATTGATGAGTGTGCCCTGAGGCCCCACTCAAAACCACTCCAATTACAGTCAGAAATCTTCGGAAATTAAGTTTCTGTGATTACAGCTCCATCCATCACAAAACAGAAAAAAGTTTCAGACAAAACTTATGTATTTTTGTTGGTAAAATTCGAATCTGAAATAAAAAAATGGGGGTTCCTATTTAAGATTTCAATGTTGCCCACCGCCCCACCCGCTTTTACTCAAGTACTATTCTCTGATGAATCGACGTTTACAAACCACGGTGAAGTTAACCGCCATAAAATGCATTTTTGGAATGTAGAAAACCCACACTTGGATTCGTCAAGTAAATCGTCGGTGACCTTGGTCGGTTAACGTTTGGTGTGGAATAATTGGCGATAAACTTATCGCACTATACTTTATTGACGGTAATCTAAATGGTGACAAGTCCCGTAACCTTCTTGATGAAGAACTACCGAGAATGCTTGAAGAGCATAAACCTTTAAAATTACGATCAAGAAGCGCAGGATTTTCAGAGCAGGCAACTAACTTTGCCGCCCAATTACTCCAAAATTACTCATATTTTCGAAACTTTCAACATGACCTTATTTGAATATCTATTTTTGATTGAAAAATTTCATTAAGAAAAAATGTTTATTCAGAACTCGAAGTTAAAGGAAGATACCGAGAAATGTTG